TTCCCTTTGGTTGTGATGGGATTTGGAGTTCCCAGTGTCTTTGGCCTGGGGTGGGGGTGGAGTCCACAAAGCCTGTATGGAATTAGCTTTAGGACATCCTTTTCCCCCCAACAATTGGACAGCTAGAGAGGCAGGAAAGGCCTTTTTCCTTACACAGGTTTGTTTGCCGTGTTAATTCAGTCTGATTCATCATTGTGATTTGCGCACTTTTCAGCGTACACACACTACTTAAAAAAGGTATCTACAGCTTCAACGCACGGGCAGACACTACGGCGGAACAGCAGGTACTAGAGCTATCATTGAGAAAGTTATTTTTGAGCACAAAGGTAATACAGCATGACCCAAAGCAAATGCCAGGATCTTGCCTCAGTTTCTTCATGTCCAATGGGAAAAACAGCAGCTGCTTTAGCCAGCTGCAGTGAGCATTAGATGCAACAGCGCCCGGGCAATACCTGGCACAGAATCCAGCTCGGTTACACTAACCTTTGAGTTTTATGTCAGCGGGCCGGCCTGCATTCAGGCCCCGCCCGAGCCCTGGACTGCAACGTCGGCACCCTGCACTACACGGCACTCGGGGTGCTAACCACGCTCTCACTAAACTGGGCAGTTGCCCGTACCCCTGCCCAAAGTCTCCCAACAAACGACACTAAGTGCAGGTGAGTGGAGCGCGGCACCGGAGCAGCACCCCCATCTAAGCACTCAGGTGCCCTCCGCGAGATTCGGCGGAGGCGACAGCACCAGAGCAGAAGGCGACCCAGCCCCAGCCCCGCACCCTCACCCAGGTCCGCTGCGCCTCGCCGCCCCACCCCACCCCACCCCACTCCACTCCCGCCCTCCAATGGGGACGCGCAGAGAGACAGCCTCATATCGCCCCCCCATCGCCCCCAATCAGCGAGCCCGCACCAGGTCGCAGCGCCAATCAGGGCGCTCCACATGCAGCGGGCGGGCCTCCGCGCACGCGCGCACCCGGCTGGCTGCCCCACCAGCCCACGCCCAAACCCTGGGCGGGCGGAGACGCACGGCTGTCTCCGCAGAGGCCACAGTGCCACCTACTGCCCACTCTGTGAGATGCAGCCGCTAGCGCGAGCCTGGTCACATGCCTCGCCTTCACTTTCTCAGGGCACAAATCCCAGCCCAAACATTCGAATAACAGGAAAAACATGTACAGCGTTAGCAGCGAAGGTCTGTTTTAATTAATTCCTATGACACAGTAGGAAAAAATATATCTCAAACTGTCTCTTCTTTCAAGCAGTTCCATAGTAGTTTCAAAACCTATTTTGCGTTCCACATTTCATATAGCCCTAGGAGCTTGCTCATTCCACTTATTTTTGGAGCACCTTGCTGTAGGTAAGGGTATTTACTGAGACAGGCATTATCATCATCCCTACTTTAGGTACAGGAACTGAGGACGAGGTTAAGCGACACAGTTTCTGAAAGCTGCAACAGCTAGGGATGACACCCACATGTCTGTCCCTCAAGTACAGACTCTTCACATCACACTGCAGAATTATGGTACAAAGTGCCGTAAGAATACAGGGGGAGGAAAGACGAGTTCTAGCTAGACAGGGATTCAGTAGGAGGGTGTTCAGTTCCAGATGGTGGTATTAGTAAATGGTAGCTAGTACTGCTTTCAACAAGAGGAGACAATTACCTCCGTGTAATATCTGCCAGCTGCAGATTACCATGCTCTTCTATGGAAGTTTCTGTTTATTCAAGAATCAATGACAATGTTCCCCTACATTTGTGTCTGAATAAGAGTTGACTATATTCCATACCAAGCTGTCAAATATAATGGTCTCCTTTCCTATTTCCCCTTCACACCTAGGAAAGTGTTGATAGCTTTCCTGAAATACATCTTTCTCTTCTCTGTACTTCCTTCACACACAGTACATCAGAACAAGCTTTGCAATATAATTGAGTCCATGGTGGTTTCAACACTAGAACAGTGGTTCTCAAAAGGGCTACTATTGCCCCTAGTGGTCACTTTTTTTCCTATTGCAATGACTCACAGGGCATTGCTGGCACTTAATGGGCAGAACACAGGAAAATTAGATAACCCCCATTGTGACTGTCCACTATAGGAAAACATCATCCCTGTTGGGAGTTTTCAGTATGGAAGGGAGATACTTTAGTCCTAAAGAAGGGCATGAAAGAACCTGTGGGGATGACCTGAAATGGAAGGCTTTAGTATTAATTCATTATTTGAATTGCATGTATGTATGCATATGCATGTATGTGCATATGTATAGATTTATGTGTATGTGTATGCATATTTGTCCTAGCTCTGTTCACTGAATGCGGCAGAAAGCAAAAACTCCACAGTTAAAAGAGAACATCTAGTGCCCAAATCTTGGCTTCTAAGACCATTCCCTACTAAAAAGAACCAGTACTTCTTAAAAGAAATAGTTGAATACATGGCTAAAGCAGGAAAGGTACACAAAGAGCTGGAACACTGCAAGCCAGCTTGAGGAGTTTCTACTAGCCAAATCTGGGACAATGTGACCACTCCAATAATTAAGGATGGCAATGAGTCATTAGGGGAAGCAAATATTGTTTAAAAATGAACAATGATGTAAATATATATACACAGAAAAAATGAACGATGATATAAAAATATATATAAAATTAAATAAATTAAGAAAGAATGAAAACAAAAAAATAAATTAATTAAAAAAAGGAATCCACCCTCCACAAGACCACAGTGATTATAAAACAGAGTTCAAAGAAAGAAATGGGAGCATAGAAGAGGGCTCCTGCTTATAGCAGAATACTAAGTATGAATAGAATACCGAGAATTAACTAGTATATGTGTTATTAATGGAGCTGGAAAACCATAAATTTGCAACCATCATGATAAAGATTGATTCAGGCAAAAAGTATCACCAGACACTAAATCTAAGGGTGAACTTTTGATAAGCGGCAGGATACTTATCAAGACATTAAAATGACTTCCTAGAAGTTGTCTATTATTCACAAGGAAAAATAGTAACTCTCCATTGGGGGAAAACAGATACAGCTGACTGGGTGATCAAAGTTAACAACACCAGCCAGAGCAGATGGACATCAAGCATCTGAAGATGTGCTACGCTGAGGACACAATATTACTGACAATATTCCAGCCTGGGAAGCATATACTAAATCAAATCATGAGATGCACCAAAAAAGAATATTCTGTTTTTTAAAAAGGGACTAGTTTCTTTAAAACATGTCAGGTATCTATCAGGATAGAGAGCTGTAAAATAGGCAACAAATATGCAAATAGTTACAAGAAAAGTTTGTATATAGACAGAATAAGAAAACTAAAGCATATGGGTTAAAATGATATTAGGTGAACCTGGGCAAAAGGTATTAAGATGCTCTTTATGTTATTCTAAACCTTTTATCCCTAAGTTTAGAACTATTCCCAAAGAGAAAGGGAAAACTATTTGTCCCACATACCAGGCCATCTGTGACATGGCAAGACATTCACATTATTTAATAATTAAAACACCCTGTTTATAACTAACGAAACTCCATTTTTCATATAAACATGAAGTACTTTTTGTGCATAACTTGAAAATAACATTCATTTTTCAGAAACGTTAACTACCATGTACACTGAAGAAAGACAGCACTTAGATTCGTTCAGAATCTTACCAAGTTATTCCCTACTTTGTGATGACGCCATTTCTGGTATTTGACTTCATCAACACACCACATTATCTACATTTCTATCTGTTGTTCACAGTGATTCTGCATTTTAGTGAAAGCATATAGTTACTCATCTTTATTCTCTACAACTCTGCTTTGGTTGACCCTTGCCAGTATACCCATTCCAGTGCTCACAAACTCTGGTCTTACGATCACATTACCAGGGGAGAAAATAAGGATTTAGTTGAACTCCTTACTCTACCCCAGTTAGCCATTAGACAGATATAAAAGAATGCCCTCGTGCCCCAATTATGGGAAGAATCCATACATACAGGGGCTTTATTCTTATTTAACATATGACAAAAGAAGCAAAGAACACAAACTAAGGTAAAGTATTAGATCAGCACTAGAATTGGCTCAAAAGTTTTACATTAGTCCCATAAAGCTATCACCAATCACGAGCCTTATCAATGTCCCACTGATGTGAAATATTGTGAAGGGCAGACAAAACCAAAAGCAGTAGATTCAGTGATTTCTTTTAAGGCTTATTATTTTATAAAAGAAAGGTTGTTATCTGTGTAACATGACATAGGCAACAGAGAAAGGGGGCATAATTAGGAGCTTACTGCCTGAGTAGCGTTAGCTATCTACCTTCTCTAAATGACTTAAATGAGATTATAATACAGCTTTCAAATCTGCCACCTGCTAATGATAGAGAAGAGCTCTGAAGAAACAAGAAATAACAATAAAAAAGTAGGAAATATAAAAATATATAAAATATATATAAAATACATTTTTCTCTGCAAATAATGTAAAACAAATAGGCTGTAGAGCAGCTAACTATATGATAAAATTGGCCAAAACACAAGAAAGAAAAGATTTCTTCATATAGGTCAGTAATCAAGGCAAAAAATGAAATAGAGGCTTCCCTGGTGGCACAAGGGGTTAGGTCTCAGTACTATGAAGTTATCTGCATCCACTGCAATACTAGTTCGATCCCTGGGCAGGAAGCTGATCCACATGGTACAGCAGATCTCTCTTGTTTTGCCCACTACTCCCCTCAGCAGTGTATTTCAGTTGATGCGCCTGTTCTGCTCCCTACTCTGTCTCTGGTGAATCCTCTCACCACCCTGCTTCACGCCTGTGGGCTACACCCCAGCTTTTATATGCATAAATATATAAATCTTAAAAAAAAAAAAAAAGAAATAGAAATCTTCAGGACAGTAAAAATGATTTTGCCAAGTAATCATACCTTTTAACACTTAAAATGTGCTTATGTAAATTGGATCATCATAAAAACATCATTTCATAGATATGAATAAGAGCTACATGATATATATTATGGAATGACTGAACTAACATGTACCCACCCAGGTGACAATCTTCTTTTTCTCTTGCTTCCCATTTGTGGCTGTCCACATACGCTGCAGAAAGCAGGCATCTTTTACCTGAGGAAAAAGACATTAACAGACATGGTTTCACAACAGAATCAGTTTATGTTTAATAAACATATCTCTGTCATATTTCCAATTTACTAGTTTAAAAATTCTATTATAATAGGAGACTCTATTATAGAATAGAATCTATTATAATAACCAACAGTGCATTGTTCATCATTCAGTTTATGACAAAATACTTTCAACCTACAAGTAGAAGATGCAGAAAACTGAAAATTTTTACAATGATATTTTGGGTAAAAAGGCTGATCATTCTGTTCCTATAACTTTAGGACCACTTGTTCCACTGAATGAGGTGAGCCCTAAAACTTCTGAGAATGCTAACTTAATCTGCCAGGCTACTGCTAACTCGCTAAGAATGCTTAACAATCATCTTACAGTTTAAGATTTTGTAACATGTTTGTAAGACTTTCTACAGCAACTGGAAACTACTACCCGAGAAAGACAAACATTCCACTTTATGTAAACCTTTTAGCAGGATGTTCACCTTTTTCTGAGATACCATTTAAAGTTTTTTCCATCCTGTATAGTATTTGGAAGATCTGTGTAGTAGAATCAAAATTTCTATAAAGTCAGAGACAGAACATTACAATGAGTGGACAATGGCAAAGTGGAAAATCTAGATTAGTTTTTCAAACTTTAATGTGTATATCAATCTTAGTGAAATGCAGATTCTGATCAAGAGTTCTGGGGAAGAAATCAGATTCTCATTTTTAATAAGTTTCCAGGTAATGATGATGATGCTGGCCCTCACACTATACCTGAAATGAAAGACAAAATATCAACCTCACAGATTTAGGTCTATGAGCCTCTTTATTTAATTCTGAAAAAGATATTTCAAGGACTACAATTTCAAAGTTTATAGTTATAAAATTAATGTTTGGTCAAATGTCTGCGAACATGTTTACCATCCATCCAAAGGGAAGCAGTATGACTGAGGACACACATACTCTTCAGAGTCAGAAAGTCTAAGTTTGAATGCTTGCCTTATGATAAACACTATAAAAATGAAGGCTTTACCCCAGATCTCTGAACCTCATTCATCCTATATAAAACAGAAATAATGCCTACCTCATATTGTTGTTTAAATGAGGGCATACATTAAGTGCCTAGCCTAACATTTATTATGTAGTAGGTGTCTATTAAGTTTGCTTCCTCTAACCTCTTCATATATCAAAGTCCATTTTTTCTCTATATCTCAATAAATTTGCCCTGCAACCTCTTGATCACATTCGTTGCCCTTCTCCATTATGTTGTAAGGAGAATCAACAGAAGCACCAACTGTTCTAAATATGATTTGTTAAGAGTTTACACAAAGTAGCATATTTTCCCTCTCACCCTATAATGCATCAACATGTTTTGATGGCTTAAAGTCAAGCTCCTATGAGCATTCTCAAATTCCCAGTGGTTCATGGTATACTATCTTACATACTTTACATTACATGCCTTAGTCTTCAGTTCCTGATTTCAAGACAGTGCTTGTTCAATATAACTTTCGGTATAGGAAACATGCAATTCTGAGCTGTCCAGTACAATAGCCACTATTAAATGTTTATTGGACACTTACAATGTAGGTAGTCTGGTTAAGGAACTGAATATTAATTTTATTTAATTTTAACTAATAGCCAACAGCACAGGTGTAATCAACAAGTTCAGTTGAAACTAAGACTGAAATGCTAATTGATAATTCTTTCAATTCACCCTTAACTAATTTTTTTGCCCCTTGTTAGAATGATTCCCCCCTCCCCCAAACATTTTAAGCAACCATAAAACTCTTTCCCTGATAGACAATTCAGGTCTTGTTTAAACTTACTAACACTTATAATTAAAGATACTGGTGATAATAGCTACTAAGCTAATTCTTAGTGAGGTGCCAGGTACTGCACATCCCATTTTACCTAATGTGTGGCAAAATATGTTTGCCAGCTAGGTCAACTGGTTAATCCTCAGGAAACTTCTGGTAGCAATTAGGTTTCACATTATATGTAATGTTCCTAGAGAAGTGTGACCAAGAGTGTGTGTTTTATAGAGGTTAGAAAAGGTCAGTTGGAAAGAGGAGACAATAGGCATTGGACATATGGATTGTAATAATTGCATTTTAAACACATAATGTTAATACCTGTTAAGAATTATATTCTACAACTGTTAGGATTTTTTTCCCCAGTGTCGTAAGATCAAATGGGTTTTGAGTGGGCTGCAATTCAACTCACATATCAAAGTACTTTAGAAGAAACTATTAGCATGTATTTTCTACACGTGTCAACTGCGGCAAAGAAAGGTCAAACAAAAGTTGTGTCCAAGGTCATTCGGTAAAGTGAGATTGGTACTTTATTAAGAATTTAGAACAGTTCTTCCACAAAGTGAAGACCAGGTATCATCCAGATGTGAGCTGATAAGGGGGACGTTTATGACGACCCTCCATGGAAACCTCAGCAGGGAGAAATTTTTCATAGCCCCAGAGGTTAACATATTTGAGTTTTTTATGGTCAGCAAAAAGATGACCACCTTAACACACAAACCCAGAAAATGATACGCAAAAGCCCTCATGTCAAGACCTTCCTCTGCTCTTCACACCTTTGGATAGGTAGATATTTGGGAAAGAAAATGAATGAGAGGCCCTACCTCCCCCTTTTTTTGCTACCTAACACCCCTAGATGGTTTCTTAACCGATCGCAGAAAGATTTCCTTTCTTCTTGAAAGCCCATCGCTTCCTTCGCTTAAGGAAGAGAATTCTCAGGGGGAGTAATGAAGCATCCCCAAGAAGGAAGCTGTCACCAACCTGCCAGTGAGAGCTGAGGCAGAGCTATTTTCTGCGCCAGGAGGACACCGCGCCGCGCTATGGAGGCCGCCATCTTGGGGCATACCAAGGGAAAAGCCGGGCGGGGGGGTGAAAGGAAGGGGTGGAGTCACAGACGTATGCTCCGCCCCCCTCCCGGGCTCCGCGCGTTGGTGTGGCCCGGGACAGCATGGCTACTGCGTGTGGACCCAAGAACCTATTTCTGCTGCAGGCGCTGCGGAGTTCCGTATATCCCGGGGTGGGAGGCTCGGGCACCACCTGCTGCCGCTGCCCTCTCGGAGGTATCTGCGGTCTCTGACCTTGAAGGAGGGTCGGTGGGACAAAAGGGAATTTTAGGCCTCAGCGGGCATTGCTTTGATGATACAGCGGCTCTTCAGTCCCCCACTGGCCTGGAGCAGCTGTGTGTGACCCTGTCCTCTGGTTGCACGTGGGTCCAGCGGTGGCCACCGAATGGTGTGAATGCCAATGTTCCTGGGAACCAAAGGACAAACCCGAGCGGGGTCTTGACCTTGGGTCTGTAGAATTCCCTCTGACCTTGCGACTCAGGTCTCCGCAAACACCCTCTGCCCTTTGAGTGACTGCGCTGCAGAGCTTGGGCGCCGAAGTCTGACTGCAGCTAGCAATCTGAAAAACTTTGAGCAGTTTTCCTCATTGTAAAAGTATCCCTTGGTGTCTTTATGAAAATGGCTAATTTTGAAAATACTAGTGATGATAAAATATTGAACACTTTGTGCTCAATGTAGTTTATATACATTAATTCCTTATTCTAATGTAGTTTATATACATTAATTCCTTTGCTCCTCACAGCACTCAATAAGATAGGTCCCATTCTTTTCTCTACTTGCTGTGAAGGAAACAGTGGGTTAAGTAATTTGCCCAACGTCAGAGGTAACTGGTAGAGAGACTGCAGGCAGCTCAAAAGCAGAGTCCTGCTCTAATCACTCCACTAGACTGCCTTTCCTTTAATAATGGTTTTTATTCTTTTTCCTTATTGCAATACACAGCTCTCTTTTAGTGGGTGATTCTTTGGGCAGGCTCCAGTTCATGCTCAGCTGAGTGTCCCAAAGACAGATGTTTCCTTATCTTCTCTACTAAGTTGTGGTCAGTAATTTGGGATGCATCTTGTGGTTTTCTAGAGCCCAAATCTGAGAGGCCATAACTCCTTCTTTCTCAAATGACAGACATAGCTGTTGTCTCACTATAACTTTTTAAAGTTACAATACACCATAGGCTTTTACCTATAAATGGAAATTAGAGATGCCTGTTGTGCATTTAAATGAGAGTTGTGTATGTGTTTTAATGCCGTTGTCATCACTTAACCAGATGGTGAATGTCTATTTGTCTTTCAAATCCCAGCTTCCTCTCAACACATTCCATAGGCAGTTAATCACTTGCTCCTTTCCTGCACACAAAATAAACTTATTGCATTCTCTGGTAATTGGGAGGTGTTTTTTCCTGGTGGGTCACTGGCATGTTTGTACCTGTCGAGATCAGTGACTTATACTAGATGAAGATAAGATCAATCGTTAAAGTAGCAATCAACCTCTACTCATCTATCTACTATGTATAAAACAGTCAAAATGATTTTCTTCTTTTTTTTATTTTTAGCTAAAAGATATCTACTTACAGATAATATTGTGAAATTGAAAGAATTTCAGCATAAGAAGGTGGCTATTGCACATAATCTTCCTGGCACCAAAGGTATTAGAATTTATTTTGTTAATTCTTTCTATGATCTGTTTCTTCTTTCTTTCTCTCTATTCAGTCTCTTCAGGACCTTTATATCTCAGAAAAGATTGAGACTGCTTATTCTTAGATTCCTGGTCTACCTTTATGTTTACCTTTCATTTCACTCTCCATTACTAAAGTTTAGAGCTCTCTAATGCCTTTTTTCCAGAATCCCAGAGAGATACTAAACCTAGCACCAGAAATAGTCCTCTCTATAGAGGACTAATAGTTTTGTGCCACTAAAGGTAAGATTCAAAGATCAAAATAACTAGGAGGTTGATAGAAATGCCAAACCTAGGCAACTTGTGTGCACAAGTCAGAAAAACTACGCCAGGTGCCTGGCTTTCAACCTTTCTGATGCAGCCCTCAGTAAAAAAATACATTTTACATTGTATTGCCAGTATACACATACATATCTACACATAATTGAAAATTATGAAATAAGACCGTGCTATTGAATTGATGCATTTTTCTATTTTCTACTCTATGCTGGAAAGGTCAGTAGGCGCAAACAAAGATTTTGCCTAAAAATTAACAAAATATTGATCAATGTTAATGGGCTGTGGGAGATCATTATACTGTTCTCTCTAGTTTTGGATATGTTTGAAATTTTTTCTTATAAAAACATAGCACCACTGCCCTGGGTCCTACTTCCTTTCAGATTCTGAGAAATCTTGTTGCATACATTCCCTTTTCCTGCACATTGAGTTTTCCCCAGAACTTCAGACTCCTTAATAAACATTATAAGGCTCTCCTCTTTTAATAACTCTTTGTTTGTTCCCATTGACTTTTCAGCCCTCTTTCCTCTCACCATTAAATTTTATGAGCGTGCAATTAACATTTCTTGCTTCCATTTGCTCATAGTTCTGCCTTCTGGAATCAGTCTTCCCTCACCATGCCATTCCACTTACCATGCTGTTTATTATATACCACCCCTGCAGAACAGGAGCAGCCTTAGGAGTTGGGGAGAATATATTAATCTCTGGTTTAGTAGACACAATCAAGATTTTCCTTAGTCTTTCCTTTTTATTCCAGATCTTTTGGAACTGTATGAGGTTTCCAGAGTTAGTGCCCCTCGTCATTGTCTGTTTGTTTTTTCCAATTGTCATAATCTTCCTAAGGCTATGCTATGGTTGGGCATATGTTCTGAAATGCAATTAATGTCATAAGTACCAATTTACTCCATTGTCAGGTTGATATTTATAAAATGCTGTCAACATTTCCTCCTTATAAGAACATCTAATGGTACTCTGTTGACCACACAATGTGCAAACACCCTCCTGACTTCCTAGCTTTTCTTTTTCTTTTTTTTAAAGATTTATTTATTTACTTTATACAAGAACCAGGGTATAGGCCAGATGCGCGGGAGGGTGAGAGGATTCATTAGAGACAGAGCGGGGAACAGAACAGGCAGACCAATGAAATACACTGCTGCAGGGAGCAGCGGGCGAGACAGGAGAGGTCTGCTGTGCCATGTGCGACCCTTGCCTGCTGGCCGGGATCAAACTGGCCACTGCAGAGGCTGTGGACAGCTTCACAGTGCTGTGTTCAGCTGCCTGCGCCACCAGGGGAGGCCCCTGACTTCCTAGCTTTTCCATGAAGGACCATTCCCTTTCTGGAGTCCAATGTAATTGCCTGTTAATCTAGTCCTTGTTCTCCCTTTACCACCTTTCATTCTTAGTTCTGTGCTGCTGTTACTTGTGCTGATTCCCACACTAAGAATGCACCATCCCCCCCCCTCAATTTTTCCATTCCTATTCAGCCTCTTCCCATCTGGTACCTCTCCACTTCCACCAATCAGGTGTGTTTCTGCCACCCTGCTTTCTCTCTTCCCCCCTGTTATGTTTGTAGTCAGTCACTTATTGCCTCCTCCATCATTGTTTTTAGATGACTTTGGATAGATATATGTTATCATTCTCCATAGACTTTAAGCTCTTTCAAGGCAGGCACCATACCTTTCTTCATGAGGGGCACACAGGACATCTCTGACTGAATTGCTTTAGCACTTAAATCTTGATTGATTTGTTTTAAAGTACAGATTGCCTCTGTTGAGATTTTGGATTCTTAAGATTTATTAGGATGGATGAAATACAAGATAAAATGTAATCCCATTAAAATCTTTTAGATGTTTGGGAATATTTAACAGACTAAACCCTTTTGAATCTGACAAATGACAAGAATGAAAATGAGAACAATGTCTGTAATTATTGGCAGTTACTGTATGTTAGGCCCCATGCTAAATGCCTTCAATACTTAGGTATCTCAGGATAACCCCATGAGGTTGATACCTCAATCCTCACTTTACACACGAGGAATCAAGTCTCACAGACCAGAGTCTTCCCAAAACATGGAAGTGATAGAGCCTAGATTTTAGCCTAGGTCCTCCGGAATCATTCTGCAAATAAAGATTGCAGGATCCATTGCTTCATCTCAACCTGTTGGGACTTCTTTTCTTATAAATCAAGAAGAGTGTCTGCTTCACCTTCCAGATCTGGTGTTTTTATGTATAGTGTGCCACTCCTTTAAGCAGCATTCCTGTAAAGCGCTGGGCCTTGGAGCAAGTCCTATAGACTAGGCAACTTATGATACTAAGAAAAGCCCTTCTGGAAAGCAGATGCTTGGTGCCAGCCTTACTTCTCAGCCCACAAATTGGCAAGAATTCAGTCTCTTCCTAATGGAAGAATCAGTGTTTCCTTTGGTGTTTGACTGTCCCCACAGTTGATCATATATACAGACAAGGGACAGAGAGGATTACCTTGAAGTGATTCCATTTCTGCCAATGTTGGCTGCTGTTTAGAGAATTGTTTTGTTTTACCCCCTGTGCATTATTTAATACAGTGACATGTATTCTAACTACTGGGTAGAAAGATCAAGAGAATGAAAACGGTAAGTTGAATCAGATGAGGCATTCCTGAATCATGTTCACATTTACATTTGGGTTTTCCAGCTTGTTGCTCTGCCAGTTGGTGGTTTGGATACCTTGGTTACGTTTCTTTCAATTTTGGGGTTTTTTTTCCCTTTCATGAGTATAGATACAGTTCTTTAGACTAAGCCTTTGTGACAACTGTAAAACTTTAGTGTGTACAAAGATCACCCAAGTGTCAAAAATACATATTCTTGTGTTTGTACCTGCAGACATTCTGTGTTTAAATTTTTGAGTGGCACCTGTATCTGTCCCCCCTAAAATATGATGTTTTTTGCTTTGTGCACCATCCCTGACACTCTGCTCTAGAGGAGACCAGTCAAGGAGGGGAGCTGCTTGCTCTGAGGCCCTCTCAGTGTCCCTTTATAATGGCCAGCTCCCCTCCTTGCTGAGATCAGGATCCTGAGAGTCTCAGTGAGCCTGCATGATGGTCACCACACTGTGATTTCTTCCAGAAACCTATTTGAGAAACTTGGAAGAGAAATTGACCCAGAATAAACTCATATTGAAGGACGAGCTGAGAACCTTGCTTCATTTGTGTGAGTCCCGGGACGATGTGGAGCTGGCTAAAAATGTCATTTACAGGTGAGGTGTTTCCTTAGAATTCTGCTAGCCTTCATCTTTTCTCACTCTCTTCCTTTTCTTAAGCAATTTCATGCACTTCCAAGAATTTAGCTATATCCTGTGTACAGCTGATGTCCAAATCTCTTCTCCAGATGCCTTCCCTAAGCCCCAGGCATTTATATTCATTCATTTAGCAAATACTTACTGTGTTCCTACTACTTGCTTGGTGCTGCAAATGGAAAAATAGACCATTTATGCCCAAAGAAATCTGTTTCTTATTTCACTTACTAATTTCCCAGATCTTCACACTCATCTAACACAAATTGGATTAGGAAATGTATCTTTAAAAATACACATCATTCTGTTTGGCAATATATGTGTTTACAATAGAGTATCTATAATACTACTCTGACTTTCCTCCATGATTTTAGCCAGAGGTTAAAAAGTATTCAGCTTTTTTAAGTGAGTTTTTCTCCATGGTATTTGGAATTCATTCATATATATATAATGAATGAATCTTCCTAAAATCTGATTAACATGTAATCATGAGTTACTTACTTTGTCTTGGTGTCTAAAGCAGAAAGAGTTGTTACTGAAAGAAATTCAACTAGCCATTTATGGTTCTGCCATTCTAAATGGCAGACTGATGGCATGTAGAGACCTCAAGCCATATTATGTCACTGTTTTTGAAGTTAGCCTTTTCCTAAAATTAAACTTTGAAAACAACATTTGACTTGTTTATCTACATAAGTGTAGCTCACACAAACCTTTTCTTGAGCTGGAAAAACAGATTGTTCTGAATTGCAAAATGCATCTATTGATTGTATGCCCTCCTATATGGGGATGAAGCTAGGTTTGAGGGGGACAGAGCATCACCCCACTCCTTTCCTTTGTTCTTCCTAGATGGGACATACAAAGAGACATTTCATTCTGATAGGCTTATAGTTTCAAGGCCTCTGCTATTCCCTTGCGTAGGCTCACGCTCAGTCTTAACAGGTTGTTGTTAAATTGAAAGATGGCTATGATGTACATTTTTCCTTTCGTTTCACAGGGTATACAGGCCTCCAACAACCTGTTTGTTTTGTTGTTTAGTTGGTTTAAATGCCAGGCATGCTTGTGCGTTCTGTTTCCTTGGATTATTACTTTTACCCTCTGGACTATAGAGCACGTCATTCTTCATTGTGCTTCCAAACACCTAGCAGAGTGCATAGCTCTGTCTATCCTTTCCTTTTCCTTGACTCTTTGCCTTTTTGCTCATTGAGTCATTTTGATCACCAGGTACCACGCAGAGAACCGAAATGTCACTTTGGGGGAATACAAGTTTGGACCACTTTTCATCAGGTTGTGCTACGAGTTGGATCTTGAGGAATCTGCAGTGGAGCTCATCAAGGACCAGGTTACTGTTTGCTTTCTCTGCAGTGGGATTTCCTTGTGCTGAGGAGCAAGTGTTTTTAGTGGTGTTAGGCAAGGTATCTCTCCTATATACATTCTTCCTGGGTTAGATTTTCAGAGAAAGGCTGCTGGTCTGAATAAATGATATCTCCCCTGCATTTTTAAGGTTTCCTTGGAGTCAGAACCTAAGAAGAGATGTAGATCTCTTTACACAGAGGTATAGAGGAAGCGGTGTAGGTACAGCTAACAAGGTATCTACCTGCCTTGGCCGTATATCTACCTGGGTCTGATAACTTCCTCTTTTCAGGAACTTTTAGTAGGAGGTAGTATAAGACAGGTTGCTATTTTAAGATTGCTTTCCCTCTTACCCCCTTCAACCCCATTCCCCCAAAAGACTGCCTTTCCTTTCCTTCACCTGTGCTTCTCTCCTGTTTTATATTTTTACTTCTTATTGAAGGCAGTGTCATACAGTGCTTTTCTATTTTTAAAGTACTTTCATCTCTTTTCTGATTTTCTTTTCCTGCAAACAGAGATAATAAGAATTGTTTTTGTGATTATTTATTGAATGTTGACTATACCAGAGCCTGTGCTTAAGCACTTCATATGTTTTATCTCATTTGTTTCCCACAATAGACCAGGTGACGTAGATACCATTATTCTTGCCAGTTTGTGAGGGAACTGGGACTCAGACATTGTAAGTTCATCTATGATCAGAAACAATTGTTCAGTTTTGGGACTGGGGCTGGCCACCAGGGACATTTTGGTATTTTTAGGAACTTCCATAAAAAAATAGTCCTCCCTCTCACTTTTTTTTAATACAGATTGTTCTGCCCCTGGTGGAACTGTTAGCTCTTGGCTTACTCCTCTTTTATGTATAAGAAAGATGACTGCAGTATATTAATAAGCAGAGAAAAGGTGCTATCAGGATAGTTCCTAGTTTGAGCCCATGTTTTCCCCTAAAAGTAGAGCTATCCATATGTATTTACATCTGAGTTTATATGTATTAAAAATCTGAAAGGATATAAACTAAATGACTTCCTTTTTACAGGGTAAAATGATAAGAAATTCTCACTTTTTACTTTATTCATTTTTGTATTATTTGACTAATAAGAAGCATATGTTATTTGTAATTAAAGGAAAATGAAAATTTCACTGTGATAAATCATAGCTAGAAGTATGATGATAAAAACAAAAAAAAAAGGAAAAAGGAAAGAAAACTTTTTTTTAACCTACCTATGTATGAAATATTTGCGTGTGAGGAAGCTTTCTGGGTAATAGTATAAACTTCAGATTGAAATGACATAAACCTAACTCTGCTTCCACTTTGACTTTTTGTGTTCCCTGACAGTGTAGTAGCCACCAGCCACCTGCACTTACAGGGCCTTCTATGCTGACTAGCTCACATTTACACATACTGTCAGTATAAACTACATGATGCATTTTTCAGATACTTGGTATAAAAAAGAGACTAAAGTAATCTTCCAAATTTTTATATTAATGATATGTTGAAATTGTATTTTGAATTTAGTGGGTGGAACAACATGATTAAAACTGATCTGAAATATTACTCAGCAATCAAAAAAGATAAACTCATGCAATTTGCAGCAACATGGATGGAGCTGGAAGGGATCATGTTCAGCAAAATAAGCCAGAAAGAAAAAAATACCAAAATACCGGATAGTTTCACTCATAGCAGGAATTTAGAAAACCTAAATAAGGGGCCAGGAAAAAGACTAATTATAATAAAGTAAAAATCAAAATCAACAAGCAACTATAAACCATAGACGCAGTCGGGCTGGGGGGTAGGGTGGGGGCGAGAAGGGAGTAGGATCAAAACAAGGGTGGTGGGAATTGTAGGGGGACGATAGCCAAGATAAAAATGCATACATTGTGCAAAAATGAAAAATGATGTAAAAATATATATAATAATTATTTTTTAAAGATTTATTTATTTATTTATACAAGCACTGGGTACAGTCAGAAGCGCGGGAGGGTGAGAGGATTCACCAGAGTCAGAGTGGAGAGCAGAACAGGCAGACTGACGAAATACACTGCTGAGGGAAGCAGCGGGCGGCAGGAAAGGTCTGCGCGCCATGTGGGACCCTAGCTGGTGGCCGGGGATCGAACCGGTGCTGCAGAGACTGCGGGCAGCTTCGCAGCCCAGCACTCAACCACTGTGCCACCAGGGGAGGCCTTATATAATAAATTTTTTTTAAAAAAGCATTAAAAAAAAATAAAACTCATCTTATGTATTTTTACTTTTTCAAAGGAGACTACTCAAAATTTAGAACTGCACACATTGTTCACGCTGGTGGCTTGTGGTGTCTTTTTACTGAGCAGGACTGCTCCAGTCTTCCCATCACTAGGAATACAGCTCAGACCTGCCTTTGACCTCTGGGCCCTGAGTAGTTGCTTTTCTCCTGCCACTCTCCCCCTGGGCTCTCTCCACTCTGGACATTGTTCTTGCTCTGACACACTGTGTCTGTGCCCCACACTAAAATGCCCTACACCTCAGTCGTGGAGGCTTTCTTCTTTGCTTCAAGGAAGTCTCTTCTTTTCAGAGAGCATTTTCTGACCACCTTCCAGCATCTTCTCCCGTCCTTTATCCTGTTTCATTATTTTTCATGGCCTACATGGAAACTTGAAATTATGTATAGGTTTTTTTTTTTTTTTGCTTGTGTTATTCACTTGTTCATTGTCTCCCCTACCAGAATTTAAACTTCACTTGGTGGTAGCCCCTCTAGACTTTAGGGGAGGGTGTGTATCTTGTTCATCATATTTTATTCTCATCATCTAGAACAGGGTTTGCATAGGAGCTCTCAGAAAGGAGTAAACTTGAGCATGGCATTTAATGGAGTATTGAGCTCTCAGAAAGGAGTAAACTTGAGCATGGCATTTAATGGAGTATTTGAATATTATGTGTCATATTACCATAGCATAGAAAGTGTTCATCAATAAAACATTGAGAACATTTAAAAAAATGTTTTTGTGAATTGTTATTCGCAAAATAACAATAATTTTAATAATGACATGACATTCTAATTGGTAATTTTTAATAATCTTTACTATGTAGCAAATTATTTCAAAAACAACTGTGTATTGTTTGTTTGCCAAAAGGAAGGGGAATCATAGTTCATAAGACCCCTCCCCCTTGCTTAGTCTTCAAGTGTACTTATGGCTGCAATTTCATATTAGTTTGCTGCCACCCAGGATCTAGGACCCCTGCCAGGGTTAATTGGCGTGTTTCTTTTCTCTTGAGCATGGCAGAGCCACACCTTGTAAAGATATTCTTCACTCATAAAGATATTCTTCACTGTATTTCTAAAACAAGAGCTTTCTTGCCATATCTTTTGCCTCTGTTCATTGTGCCCATTGCTAAAAGCATGGTAGCCAGGAGAATGGGTAGTATTTTAATTATTTTGAGAAATAAATTCTTGGTATATCAGAATTTATTAGGGAATTTAAGAGGCCAGATGAATTAGGTATTAGCAAAAATAAGTCCTAGACAGAGAAAATGCAGTATAAGTAACTGTCTTAATTGTTGCCACTTTTAACCAAACTTTATTGTTTTTACTCATTAGCATTTACGAGGTTTCTTCTCAGACTCCACATCTTTTAACATTTTGATGGATATCTTATTTATCAAAGGCAAATATAAAAGTAAGTTTTGCATTTATGTTTGATGAAATAATGTGATGTCTTTGCTCATATAGCAGTTAGGAAAAATAATGGGCTGTGCACAAATGTGCCTTATATTCCCAGTGAGTGACTGAATAACTGAGATCTTATTCTTTAAGTGTGAAAACATTATTGCATCATAAGTCATGCCTTCAACTGAACACCCCAGATTTTACTTACACTAGAATTATAACAGGTATTAAAATGTTAGTTCTTGCATGATCTGACCTTTTATTTTGAAATTTAGTTCATTACAAATGACCTTGACAAATAGCTTTTATTGTGCTGTAGTACACTTTTCAGTAGATGGTGCTGAACAGAGTAGAGTTCTGGGGTGAATAGTGAAGGACTTGGAACTCTCTGGAGCATATCTAACACTACTGGACCAATCCGGACTTTTGGCAGGTGCTTTGGAAGTATTGGTTGAGATGAAAAACCAAGATGTGAAGTTCAGCAAAGATACCTATGTCCTTGCTTTTGCAATTTGCTACAAACTGGTAAGACTATCGTCCCTTAACTTTTAGAGCATTGTGGAAGTGTTTGAAATAGGATTTTTTTTTTGTACAAATAAGAGTCACTTCCTCTGAAGTCTTTCTATCTGGTACAGATATATCCATTTTAATATGTTCATTTTTAGAAAAACTGATGTTAGCTGTACTAGATAGTTTTATCATGGAAAAAGCAATTTAACATCTTTCACCTCTTCTGGCTATTCATGTGAGAACATGAAACTATGCCAGGTTCAAAGTCTAGTCTAGAGTCATCTTGCTTCTGGGATCAGGCTCAGCTACATTAAACCAGTCTTCTCTGTTGCCTTCTCCCCTGGAAATCTTAGCATCCTTCATTGTCAAATGAAGGGCTACTTTGTCCTCAAGGGCTACTTTGTCCTCATCAGTAAATGTTTCTGGGTCACCTTACTTAGACGTGATCTCTCCATCCTCTAGCATCCCTTAATCATGTTCTATTTATATCACATATGTGGCAATTAATAGTGCCCGATATGTATTGAGTTAATGCTCATTTCATCGCCCTCACTCGTATGTTAGCTCCTTGAGGCATCTTTGAATGCCAGCACCTAAAACAGTGCCTGGCACACAGTCAACCTTTAATAAATGTATGTAACATTAAAATGAACTCTTTGAGGACAGAGGGCATGACTTGTAAATCCTGATGTCTTTTCTGTGTTAAGACTGTTTCTTACAGAAAAACTGTCTTTATTGAATAAATGAATAACTAAAATTGTGAAATAATTCAGTGCATGACTGTCATCATTCATGCTATTGAAATTTTGGAAACCTGAATAAGAAAACCTTTTTATGTTGCACATGAAGGAACACCAAGCAAGGTAGAAGATGGGTCTTTGAAAACGCCCCTGAGAAGTGTAGTGATAGCAGCTTACCAAACAAGAGGACAATGAGTTATAGTCAAAAGAAAACTAACCAGGAAATTAAGAACCTTTCCATCTACTGTCAGTTTTAGCTGCAACTGCTTTGACTGTCTAGTACTTAGCTTATTTATGAGATGATGTGAAATTCAGGGGTCAGCAAACTATTTCTATAAAAGACCAGAGAATATGTATTTAGGCTTTGGAGACCATATAAAATCTCTGCCACATAGGGTTTCCATCACATGTTATTTATTTTTGGTTTTACAAACCATTAAAAGTATAAAAACTATTTTTGCTATGTTCTGCATTGGGCCTGAGGCTCCTCATTTACTGACCCCTGATTATTTGATGGCCTTTTCCAGCCATAGCATTTTATGATTTTGGGGAGCAGGACACACAACACTTAAGCATCAGCTGTGATAACCCAGTTTTCTGAAGAGAGTACACTCAAGTGAAGAGAATTTAATTTTACTACTTAGAGCCAGAGGACTTTTCTCCCCTGTAGTATGTCCAAGAATAACTTGTTTCACTGAGAGGAGACCAGAATTGAAAACTTGAACTCATCAGTCATTACAAATTCCAGTCCATTCTAGGGAGTGTCCTCTCATCAAGTTCAGATTTTACTTGAGGATTTCAGCCGCGAATCTTGTCATGACAAATATATAGATAGATGTCAAGCTGGTCCTGCTCTCATAAACCTAATCCACCTACAGCATGTACCAAGGAAGAAGATTCAGTTTTTCAGTTTCATTTCCATGGAATTCTTTCATGACTTACTATTCTTTCAGATTACTATTCATGTTTTCAAATATTTGACTTAAATGCATATTTTCAGACTGGAAATTATGTCAGGAAATATTTGCTAGTGTTGTTGAGCTTTACTCTGTTTTGTAGCATACGAGCAGGCTGACTCTTTGCACTTGTACTTTCTGGTTTCCTGTGTCTAGAAATCAGCCTGCCCAGATACTGCAGGTAAAACTGCCTCAAGTCAGAAAATTGACAAAGAGCTTTAAAAATAAAGTTAATTTAGATTTGAACTGCTAAATGTGTGTGTGTGTGTGTGTGTGTATTTTTTTTAAAATCTGGTCTGTTTGCAGATAGTCTTGTTCTTTTAAATGACTTGAGATAAGCTCTGGGAAATTCTTGCAAAAGGAAATCTGAAATACTGAGCACTGTTAATCATTTTATTGAACTTAAAAGGTTCCTGACATTTATCTGTTTTTTTAAGGATAAAATAAGTTTTTGTTTATAGTCTTGTAGTAAAGGGGGAAACCGTAACTTGCAAGCAGTTCTCGCGAAGTACCGACAACATTTTTTAGTTCCACGGAATGGAATGTACTCTCCACTACACTGTATACAATGGGAATCAGCAAATGCCAGGAACAGAGTAGTAAAAAGACAAAGAAGTGAAGCCCAAACACAAAACTGGAATCTGCTGACTACAGCCAGAAGCGGGACAATCACAAAGGGGATAGGTTCCAAGATAATTGGAAGGGGATGGGGGATGAGGGTGAAAAAGGGTCTACACTGGGATTCAGGTTTACTACCAGGTGAATTGCTCTTGGTATTTATATACCAAATTAATTGGCTCTATTTCTTAGAAATACAGAAAGAAAGGAAGATTTGAATTTTTTTATGAAGCTGTTGCTTTGCAATACTGACGTCAAAACTAGGGCAATTCACTGAGATTCAAATTTTCAGTAGCAGGATATAGCATCACTACAAAACCTCCACGTGACCTGATCCCCCCTCCCTGTGCCACCTCCCTACTCCTAGTGGTTACTGCCTCATTGCTGTTGTCTGTCCCCTCACCCCCATATACACAAGTATTATGACACTTATTTACTGAGCAATCCTATTTCATCCCAGAACAGCCCTGAGTCTTTTAAGATCTGTACTACATTAAGAGAAGAGGCTCTAATCAAAGAAGAAGTCCTCTCCAGAAGAGCATCCTGTTTTGCTGTGGCATTAGCTCTGAATCAGGTACGGCTTTGGGGGACACATAGGGAACTGGCAGTGGACAGGAAATTACTTCTTTTCTTTGTTCTTGCTTTTAGTTTATCTTTGTTCCTTACTGACTCTGTCATAAAGAAAAAGAGACCACTGCCGTTGGTGCCATGGCAACCTACATTGATACCTATGCCTCCAAAGAATGTTTTCATTTGTGGTTGACAACCTGACATGCATTGCTACGTACAAGGGGCTGGCCAAGATCCCGTGGAGAATCAGGGAAGCTGTATGCTGAGAGGAATTCCTCAAATAATTAAAATGAAAATTTCAGATAATCTGTTTACTATGTAATATTCTTTAGAAAATAACTTAGTTAACTCTCTCTAAAGCTGAATGCACCTCAGGTGAATAGGACTTCTGGGTTACCCCATTGCAGAAATGGGTCTATCATCTATTCTTACTTACACTCAAATAGCATTATTTGTAAGAGGTTTTAGGGGTCTTTTGGCCTGCCCCCTCAGTGAACAGATGGAAGCAACTGACAGTCAGGGAGGAGAGCAGACCTACCAGATGTCACACTTCAGAGAATGTTCTGGAGCTTATCCTCTTGAAGAGTCCCTCCCAAGGTAGCCTGCTCCAAGGTAGCACAAATAATAGCCAAGCCAGGCTTTTTACCCAACTAGTAAAATATGTCTGGAGAACTGTTTATCATTAATTACAGATGACAATGTCAGAATGATTCATTTCATGTACTGCTGAGAAAGTCACGGAAGGACAGGGAGTTAAGAAGATGCACAGTTACCAATTTTTGCCTTTACTTTCTAATACACACACATACACACACACATAGCATGCATATAAATATAGCATGCAATGTGTGTGTGTGTGTGTGTGTATAGTACATATATGTCAATGTTGTAAATGTTAGATCGTGATTTTCATCTCTCACTATAGCATGATAAAATGCCTTTCTTGGTCTTATTTAATGCTTTTGCCCTGACTTCAAGCATGACATTATTTGCTTATTTTGTTTTGCTGTATTGTTTCTCTCTTTTTTCCCTCATAGTTTCTTTATACAGATCATCTGCTGGTCCTTTTTGATTACTCATTATTGAAAAACACGTTTCTCTTAAACCAGCCACTTGCAGAAGAGTCATGTCAGAGAGAGCCCAGAGCGATGTTGTCATGTTCTAGGCTAGCAGGGATTTTTTGTACTCAATGCAGAGTTTTGTCTGCACACGCATGTAGGCTTTATTTCTCCCTGGCCAATTGGAACAGACATGACAGTGGTTTGCTGTAGCACTGCTTCCTGCAAATATGGCTTGTCCTTGATTAACCTTACTTCTGCCACTAGAAGGATCTAGAAATTCCTCATTACTAGTCCTACCATCAGGTAAACAAGAATTGAGGTTTTTATACTTACAATTGTCCCCCTCACCTTTGAGAACTATTTTGTGGGCTCTTTCTGAGATGTGGAGCAATGTTCTCTCACTGCTTTCTCCAGAACTACCCATGCTCCATGTCCAGTGTTTTTAGTAATGCTTCCAACTCTCTTGTGGCTTGAGATTTCTGCTGTGTTCTAATTATGTCAAAGGTGGGGTTTGCATTTCTGTTTCTCATTCTTGTTTTTGTTGTGTTAATTTGTTTTGTTTTAAGCCGATTCCAGAAAGGGAAATTCCCTCCTTAGTCCTTCATATTAAATATTGGTTATTCATTTTAGTCAGGTTATTCAAAACATGTTGTAGTATGACACCATAGAAAGCATTTTATACAATGTTCATTTTTGATTGCCAAAAAAAGTTTTTTCTTTGTAGATTTCAAAAGCCTATGGTACTATAAACAGGAATATCCTGACCTCTTTAAATCATCTTTATGTAGCAAAGTAATGTTCATCTGATGAGGTATTATAATTTTGTTTCTTCTAGAACCAAGTTGCAAAAGCTGCATCCATTTTTTCTCAAATCCTGAAACCAGAAAGCATAATCTGCACTAATTTAAATGTAAGTGACTTCTTTATGGTTCAAAGTGAGACCTGAAATGTAATAGAATGATATCTAGATTTTTGGTCTGTGAACAATGCCTTTTGATCTCCAAAGGTCTTTGTTTAGCTTATTCTCTTATTGAGCTCTGTTGGATGTTACAGTGTACTGTGCTTCTGGGAGTTCATAAATAGCTGGGAAATGTAGACAGGCTCAGATATGAGATGCATCTAAATGCTGCAGATAGAACATGTGACTGCAGAGACTGTAGATGTAGAAAGAAGGGAGAGAATAAGATGTACTCTCGTCTCGTTACCGAAACCTGAGAGAAACCTGTATGCCAATTGCGTTCCATCCATGGCTCCTGACTTACGGAGTCAGTATTACCTGATGTGGCAAGTGCTGACATAAGCAATTTTCATTATTGGTTGCCTGCCAGGGCCCATCTGCCCTGTTGAGCTGGGAGTCACTACATCTTCCTGGAGCAGTGAAAATACTTTAAAAGGCTCTCCTTTCATTAGTGACATCATGGTCCCCTCTTGGTCCCCCCCATGAGGCCCTTCTTATATGCTAAGTACATTTGTGTTGTATCCTCCCTAATCACTCCTCCCCCCACCAAAAAAAGAAAGAAAAGCCTCTAAATTTCAAAAACAGAGTTTCTGAAATGTCAGCGGGTCAAGATGAAGAAAGCATTGTCAGAAAAATAGAAATGTGTATACACTAGTATGACATGAACTGGGATAATGGATCACAGCCAGTGCAGTACTCTAGGACTGGGGAGTGAAGGGCAGGGCAGGACTGGCCAGCACCTTTGGGAGGAGACCATTGTTGAGCAGTGTTTTAAAGGAGGACTATGGGGCCAGAGGGATGGTGGTGGAAGGGCATTCTTTGTTGGGCAATTCATTTTGCTGAGGGTTCTGTTTAAAGGAATGTTAATTGTAAACACCTCTTACTACTCTGTGTCCTTAGGCAAGTTGCTTAACATCTATGCACACCATTTCCTTTTTTCTGAAACAGTGATGTTGATAATATCATCCTTTCATTAGGAGAATTGAAAGGATAATTCATATAAAGTAGTTAACGTAGTACTTGGCATGTAATTAGTGTTCAGTTGATGTTTGCTAGTACTGGCCTATTTGTTTGAAGTGAAGTATATTAAGTAAAAAAGAATATTCATTGGTCCAAATTCCTAGAACCCAGTGAATAGGACTCAGGCCTAAGTCCCGGCTTTTAGGGCTTTCAGTTTGGCCTGTAGCGATTATCTTCAAATGTCACACCCAGACCAATGCCCAGATGGTAAACTTTAGAGAATAAGGTCTGCTAAGACATTTGAGGTTAGAACACTTTATATTTGACTTCATATTTATTTTTCAAAAATGTTTTTACATAAGAGAAAGATGAATCTAAGGAGCCAGAAAGATGGAGACAGTGATAACAGAGAACCTGGGTGGGGAAAGTGATGAATTTGGAAGGAAAAATATCCAAAAAAAGATCTTATAGTTTGCAGCTTTCATGAGCCTGGGTGGGATGTCAGAGCTGTCAGTTAAGAACTGGTCTTTATAGTCCCTTGAAATTCTCGGGATACAAGGAACATAACTCCACATCATAAAGGCCATCTATGACAAGCCCACAGCCAATATCATTCTCAATGGTGAAAAGCTGAAAGCATTCCCATTAAGATCTGGAACAAGACAAGGATGTCCACTCTCACCACTGCTTTTCAAGATAATACTGGAAGTCCTAGCCAGAGCAATAAGACAAGAGAAAGACATACAAGGAATCCAAATAGGCAAGGAAGAAGTCAAACTATCACTATTTGTGGATGATATAATATACATAGAGAACCCCAAAAACTCCACAGAAAAACTAATCCAACTAATTAATCAGTTCAGTAAAGTGGCAAGATACAAAATCAACGAACAAAAATCAGTAGCCTTCCTATACACAAACAATAAATCTGAAGAAGAAGAAATCAAGAAAACCATTCGTTTTATTATTGAAACAAAAAATCAAATACTTGGGAATAAACCTAACAAAAGAAGTAAAGGACCTATACAAAGAAAACTATAAAACACTGTTAAAAGAGATAGAAGTAGACACAAAGAAATGTAAAGACATCCCTTGCTCATGGATCAGAAGAATTAACATTATCAAAATGGCCATCCTACCAAAAGCAATTTACAGATTCAATGCTATTCCAATTAAAATTTCAATGTCATTCTTCAAAGAAATAGAAAAAAATATTGATGAAATTCATATGGAGCCACCAAAAACCCCAAATTGCCAAAACCCTCCTGAAAAAAAAAGAAGGGAATGGCGGCATCACTCTCCCAGATTTCAAACTATACTACAAAGCTATAATAATCAAAACTGTATGGCATTGGAACCAGAACAGACACATGGACCAATGGAACCAAATAGAAAACCCAGAAATAAACCCACAGATCTATGGTCAACTAATCTTTGACAAAGGAGCAAAGAACATACACTGGAGTAAAGAAAGTTTGTTCAATAAATGGTGCTGAGAAAACTGTGTTGCTACATGCAAAAGAATGAAGCTTGACTACTACCTCACACCATGCACAAAAACCAACTCAAAATGGATTAAAGAACTAGACATAAGACCTGAAACCATAAAATATATAGACGGAAATATAGGCAAAACACTACCTGACATGCACCTCAAAGACATCTTTACAGATGCATCACCCAAAGCAGTGATAGTGAAGGCAAAGATCAACAGCTGGGACTACATCAAATTAAAAAGTTTCTGCACAGCAAAAGAGACAATAACCAAAACAAAGAGAAACCCCACCGACTGGGAGAACATTTTTTTGCCCCCAACACTAATGATAAAGGACTGATCACAAAAATCTACAAAGAGCTGATGAGACTCAACAAAAACAAAGAAAATAATCCAGTCAAAAAATGGGCAGAAGACCTAAAAAGAAACTTCTCCGAAGAGGAAATACAAATGGCCACCAGGCATATGAAAAAATGTTCAACGTCACTTGCAATCAGGGAAATGCAAATCAAAACTACCATGAGATACCATCTTACACCAGTGAGAATGGCACATATTAAAAAAACTAGCAACAGAAATGTTGGCGAGGATGTGGAGAGAAAGGAACTCTCCTGCACTGCTGGTGGGAGTGCAAACTGGTCCCACCACTATGGAAAGCTGTGTGGAGATTACTCAACCTACTTAACATAGAGCGTCTATATGATCCAGCAATTCCACTCCTAGGTATTTACCCAAAGGACACAGAAACATTAATTCCACAGAGCACCTGCACCCCTATGTTTATAGCAGCACTATTTACAATAGCTAAGCTTTGGAAACAACCCAAATGCCCAAAAATAGATGACTGGCTCAAGATGTGGTACATATACACAATGGGATATTATTCAGCATTCAAAAAAGATAAACACATGCAATTTTTAGCAACATGAATGGAGCTGGAAGGGATCATGCTCAGCGAAATAAGCCAGAAAGAAAAAGAAAAATACCGGATGGTCTCACTCATAGCAGGAATCTAGAAAACCTAAATATGGACCAGGAAAAAGAATAACTATAAGAAAGAAAAAAAATCAAAATCAACAAACAACTATGAACCAGAAACACTTTTTTGGGGGGTAAAGAGGGATTGGGGTCAAAATTGGGGTTGCAATTGTATGGGGAATATAAAAATTAAAAAAAAAAAAAAAAGGAAAAAAAGATTGGGAAAAAAAAAAAGACCAGTATGAGAATTCTAAATAGACAACTTCATAAACTGGATGCTTGTCAAATGAGTAATTTTTTTCTTACTTGAGTAATTTTTTTCGTGCTTCTAATGTTGTATTTTGTAATTGTTTTCTTCCCTCTGATTGCTGTTTGACTAGTAGAATAAAAGCTACAAAATATATGAACAATCAACTGAACAAAAAAGAATTGGTCTTTATAAACCTGTTAATCGATCTGATATGAACTGATGAACCCACACAAAGGGAAGAAAGAGGACCCAGAAATGAGTTTACAAGACATTCATGGTGAGGCAGGAGAAGCATAAGATAGAAGAAATAGCACCAGTTGCAGAATTCCAAGAGGGCTGGAGCCCTGCCTGTCACAGCCTGCCCCAAGACTGCACCCAGTAGAAATCATGGGTTGGAGCAGGGGGTCAGCCTGAAAAGCTCACAACCTAAAACAGGACTGGGAGGTCAAGGTGGCAAAGGGTCAGAGTCCGAAAGTTCAAGTTACTGAAGCCAATAATACTGTAAGACAGATAGACCAGGAAGCCCGCTGTGCCAGCAGATGCCAGCTGCTTTTTATCTTCTCTGCTTCCTGTCAGACATGAACAGCTCTGGTTTCCAAGTACAAGCTAATTCTGAGAGAGCAGGCCCGCAGGTGGACAGAAGCCGACCTGCTGGGATTGCAAGTGGTAGTGTCAGGCAGGAAAGAAATACAGGAGAGCGTGGTGAGAGGAGTGTTATGTGGATCATGAGTAGCTTTTCCTAGAGTCGAAGTTAGGCTTTGGGGAACAACAAGGATTGCTGGTGAAAAATTGAAAAGGGAGATGGGCAGGGTTTTAATTAATTGAACTTAAGTACCATGTTAGGTACTTTATATCCATTATCCGTTGGTTCATTTTTTTAAATACTGTCAGAACAGTATTTCTCCATGTTATCAGTGTGGAAGATAAAGATTCAAAGGCTAAGTAAATTGGGCCTCCCCTGGTGGCGCAGGTGGTTGAGCACCGCACTGTGAAGCTGTCCTCAGTCTCTTCAGCGCCGGTTCGATCCCGGCCGGCCAGTGAGGGTCTCACATGGCTCAGCAGACCTCTCTGTCTTGCCCACTGCTCCCCTCAGCAGTGTGTTTCGTCAGTCTGCCTGTTCTGTTCCCCGCTCTGTCTCTGGTGAATCCTCTCACCCTCTTGAGCATCTGTCCTGTACCCTGGTTCTTGTATAAATAAATAAATAAATCTTTTAAAAAAAAAAAGGCTAAGTAAATTACCTAAGTTCTTACAGCTAATCAGTACATTGGCTCAATCAGATCTGACTATAAAGCGTAGGGTTTCCTGGTCAATCCAGACAAATGAGAAAAGGATGTGTCTATCTTACCTACGATTGGGATTAGTTGCTCTTCCTGAATAATGAAAAGAACAGAAGGCAGGCTGTCAAAAATGAATGCCATTGTGCACAGATTCCACATCCTCAAACTTAGATTCCTCATCTATTTCAATCCTTGGCTGTTTTTCATGACTGTTAGGTGAGTCTGGTAATGACAGTTGTGGTTGTTTTTTTTTTAAAGATTTATTTTTTATGCATACAAGAGTTGGGGTGCAGGCCAGAGATGTGGGGGGGGGTGAGAGGTTTCACCAGACACAGTGGGGAGCAGAACAGCCAGATCTACTGACATACACAGCTGAGGGGCGCAGTGGGCGAGGCAGGAGAGTTCTGCTGCGCCCTGTGGGTCACCCCCGTGGCTGGGGATCGAACTCATGCTGCAGTGGCTGTGGATAGCTTCATAGTGCTGCATCTTAACACCTTGCGCCACCAGGGAGGCCCGTGGTTTTTTGTTTTGTTTTTTTTTTTTTTCAATGAAAAAGTGCTTTGGTGGAAATAAAACAGGAGCCTTCTGAGAGACAAGCTGCACACTGACAGTAGCAGGAGAAATCCGGGGGCATCAGGCACTGCTCCCGTTGTCATTGCTAGGAGGGAAAGGCAGCCGCTAAATACGATGGTATAGGCATGTTTCAGGCCAGCACTATACAGGGAGCCTCAAATAAAATATCCTGTCAGTGAATTGGGTCACAGAATTATCTATTGTCAGGAAAATTAAAGATAGTTTTCTTGTTTAAAAATTTGCTGTCAGGAAATTCTTCCAAATGTCCAATCTCAATTTCTCATATTTCAATAGAAGCCTTTTTCATCATCCTTAGGAACGATGAAAAGAAATGATTGCCATTCTCAGGTTTAATAACCTTTCAGGGTCTGGGTCTCTGTTATTAGAACAGGTTTTTTAAAAATTGCTTTAATGGGCCCTAGCTTCTCAAAGACTGAGTCATCTACTTGGAATCCTTAAGGGCCATTTGTTAATTATTAAGAAATGGAAACCTGACAGATGAGCTGAGTAGAGAATCTGTACTCTCAGAAAAAAATGAAAATCATTTTTTCCTGATCTACTTTAAATATTAATGCCTTATACTAAAATCTTTTTCTGCTGCCAAATTGAATTTGAACTTACCTAATTTCCCCTGCTCAACCTAATTTTCTTTTCATCGAAATTGCTCTTGCTGCCAATATGACCCAGAAGGCCTGATATTCCATTTTCCCAGCTAATACTTGCTACATTGCATACTGCATTGATTTAGCAGATGATCTCATCAAGGCACGTGCATGTTGACTCTGCCCTTTTGGTCTGAATTCAAACCCATCTAAAGAACTATAGCCCCTTCTTTAGCAATGCTGCTCAGTATTAAAGGATGGGATTTCCACTTCCTTATTTGTCTGAAAGTAGCAGAGATGATCACAGGGTAACTTTCCACTGATTCTATTTTAATTCTGATCATTTCTCTAAAAATCTGGCAGTCTCCAAATGGTGTCCTATTTTGAAATCAAATTACCTTGCAGGAGAAAAGTGGTTAGTTTTGCTGCTTTTATTATTTACGTGTTAACACACGTAAATAGATGACTATTTAAAGTCCCTGTCTGTAATCACTAAAGTCACACTCAAGTTCTGATTCACGCTAGGAAGACTTTGGACTGCACAAGTAGGAAAGGAAACGGAACTTATTTCTCATATACCCATTTGTGACAGAATGTTGCCTATGTCTATAATTTAAGAATTGTATTTGGTTGGAAACAATGTAGATCTCAAAAAACAAAACAAAACAAAAATCACCCCAAGAATCTATATAAATTAGGAGGGCTTATTTTTCTTCTGTGTAGGTCTGGTGTGACATCCATGATATCACAGAGACTGGTTTCATTCTGTAATTCCATACCACCATAAGCCTGTGACTTCCATCCATTGCATCTCTTCCAGCAAGAAGTAGATAAAATAAAGGACAAAAAAAGTGGTTCCTTTTTAAGGCTGCTTTTCTGAACATCTCACCCAACAATGCATACTTTCATATTATAGGCCAGAATTTAATCTCATGGCCTCATCTAGAAAGAAACCTGAGAAATACAGTCTTTGGATTCTGTATAGAACAGTATCAATTAAAGTTAGGGAGTTCTGTTATCAGTAAAATGGGGGTAGGGAAGAGAATGAATAATGATTAGAAAGTTAGCAATCTCATACTATGATATTCTTCAAATACAGCAAACTTGCAAAGAAATATGAAATTTCTGCATGTTTAAGACTTCTGTTCCTTTTCTTATTCAGAGACATCCAGTGACTTTCCTAAGGTCTCAGAAAGTCAGAGTAGTAAGAAGTACATGTTTTTTTTTTTGTATAGTTCTTCTTATCAAAATTCCCCTGCTCCTTGCTAATTCAATTTTCCTAGCCCTTTGTTTGAAATCTGTAAGATTAAAGCAATGTGCTGTACCCTGATTTAGCTTTCCTTAGCTGCGCTCTGAGACTTCGATTTGAGACAAGCTCCTACCTTTAAATTTTTTCTTTGCCTTTCATCAGTAATTGCCTCATCTGTGTTTCCTTTCAGTATATTTCAAATATTGAACCAAACTCTTGAAATCCTTCCTGAATCAGAGTTGGTAGAGACAGGAAGAGAAACTGGAAAAATTTATGATGAAAAGTTGAACTTTTCCAGGAGCACACCATGAATAGTGGAGCCTTAGAAAGTTCTTCCTTGAAAATTTCTAGGGAAACTCTCATTGTTGAGGGTCTACTCAGTACTAGTCTCAGAGTTGTAACATTCAATAAGGCAGACTTGCCCTTGTCCTCAATAAAACAGACCATTGCCAACCAAACCAGGGATGGTTTTTATTAACAAGATTGTTATGAACTATTAAGAGTTCTCTGATTCTTATTATTGCCAACTCTATCTTGTTTTACCTACTTCCAAGCTAATGTGTTAGCCTGCCCATTTCATAGATGCTGTTAGAGCTCGCAAGACACTGAGAGGTGAAGGACAGATTAGTGCTCACAGCAGTAGCAGTAGCCAGAGTATTAGCATTTTTGTATCGAGTTTCTTGAACCTAATTCCCATGGCATGATGTAAAAAGGTCTACATGCATGGGAATTAAAAGAGAGGAATCTTGAACTTGGGGTACCAAATTCTCTTGCAGTGAACAGTAAGCATGTCTTCTCTTTGTATACCGCATCTATCCTCCTGGGCTGTCAGTTATACAAACATCCTTGAAAGGAGAGTCTGGAATAAAAGTAGTCAGTGCTTCTGTTTGAATGTGAGAAACCCAAAGAGGGGTGTGTCCCAACAAAGTATGTGCCTGTGATTTTGCCTGTGCTTTGAAACACTGACCTTGGATTGGGCCTTTGAATTTATGTACTTGGGATCATTTTCAGGACCAAAGATAACCCCTCATTCTGATCAACTGCTCAACAAACAAAAATTGTTACAAAATGAACCACTAAGAGAACTTAGCTAGCCTGGTTTAAAAAGGAATGTCACTTCTACAAAAACTACCTAAGAATCAAGAGCCTTAAAATGTTTATACCCATTGACTTAGTGTTTTGCTTCCGGGAATCAAGTCTAAGGAATCAACAGATTTTTCAAAATGTATGTGCATTTATCAATATAATAAAGCATGCTGTTGTTTTATTTGGTGTATTATTTTATTTGTATGATAGATTACTCATGCATTCATCATTAAAAATAAGGTTTTCTTTTCTAAAATGTCCTAATTCTATGAAAATGTGTTCATGTATGATAATTAACAAAAATCAGGATCATTTGAAGGGGAATAAACACATGTAGAAGGTAATACATGAAATTACAAACAATGGTTAACATTACTTGGTAAATTCTGAATTCTCATTTTCTTTAAATTTTTCCATATTTTTAAAATTGTACCAGTGAACATTGGTTATAAAGAGGATGGGGGAATGTGTTCCTTTTCCTGTGTTAATTGTTTCTGAATGATGGAAAGTTACTAGTGGCATCATTTTGAAAGTCAAGTATGGTACCCAATTTTGAAACTTCCTTAATAGCTCACTATGAGTAGGAGTGCCTTATTAGAACTTTAGCCAGCTTCCACTTTATACCTGCAGCAACCTACATGCCTGTAATTTTCTAACTTAAATGAATAACTGAATGGGTAAAGGTAAAGGTATCATTTGCTCCAGAGTCAATCTTAGGAGACCATGTGCCATGTCCTCTGAAACTAGTAAAAACTGATAGTACTGTTTATTAAGTACTACTTCCTTTGTGCTGAAATTTTATTTAGTGTTCACAGTAACTCAAAATGTGGAATGAAACGTGTTTTTCTCATTTTACAAATGAAATTGAAGAGATATTAAGTGTCTGGCTAGAGTTTCAAAGCTGGTCACCACTGGTGCCAGGACTCTAGCCCAAGTATACACACTCCAAGATCCAGGTTCTCCCCATTTCTACCCATAAGCAAGTTTTAAAGTTGTGGCATTTTGATTAACTATTGGAAGGCAAATTTTGGCTGATGGATAGACAGACATTAAAGCATTTTTTTGAACTTGCATAAACACATATGTTAGGGAAGTGCATAAAAGCAGAGCAGATGCCTATACATATAGAATAACAGGGCACGTTTCTCCATGTTGAATACTTGTCCTTGCTTGTTTCTTCTTTCTGTTTAGCTTATGATCTATATCAAATCAAATATGTTGAAAGACCTGATAGATATACTGAAAGAAGCTACAGAAGGAAATTTATCAAGATTTGTGAAAAAACATGAGTTCTCAGAAGAAGTGGTGAGTATGTGATTGCTAGAGAAATCACTTAAAGATGAAAGGGCGCTCTTTAAAATGTCCACTTGATTTTGTAATTCTGTAGCCCACCTCCTTAAGGAGACTGTCAAATAGAAAGGAGTTGTCTTTCTGTTGTTCCTCTTCTTAGACTCCCATGCATGCATGCAAAAATTGTTTTCTTCCAATGGCATATATCCTCTGAAATTCGGGCAGAGCTTTTCCCTTTACATTGTTCTTTTCTCCACACTGTTTTCATAGGTCCCCATACTCTTTTTCTTCTTTTCCTTGAACCTTCAGATACCTTCTCCCTACTCCTTGCTCTCAGTTGGTAACCTTGCATCCTGTTTCTCAGAAAAAGAGAAGCAGGCAGAACTATGGTCACTTCAGCAACCTGTTGCTTTTCTTCCTGTCTGCTCAGCCTTCCCTCCAGAAGTCATGGCAACTGTGCCCACCTCTCTACAGTCAGCTCCCCAGTTGTGCCCTGAAACTCATCCCTTCTGGTCCTCTTCAATGCATCTGGGGATCAACAATGTTCCCTGCCCTGTGGATCATCCCCATCGGCAAGCAATAGGCTGTAGCATCTTTCATCTTTAAAAAACAAAATCTCCCTTTCCTTAAACAGATGAGAGACATAATAAGTGTTTAGATAGAAATACTCAGCCTCATAAAGTCGGTTCCTCCCAAGTAATGTGGTCATGTAATATGATCCCAAGAAAAATGCCATTTGTTTTTTTTTTTTTTTTCCTGTGAAGTTTAGTAGGAACTGCGCAGCCTAGCAAAAATAGCTAGAAAACCCTATGAAAGAACAGTAAGAGGTGCAGGACCTGTCAGATATTAAACTATATAAAATATTCTATATTTAAATTGTGGTTTTAACTCCCAAATAGACCACCTAGTGGGACCATTGAAATTTTATTGTAAAATTAAGAAAGCCAAATTAAATGTAGAGAAAATTCCTTAAAATATAAAAACAAAATGAAATAAATGAACCCATGTATCACATTGATGTCTCAATAAGCACACAAAGAGGAGTTGTTGCAAGTCCTTTAAAATTTAATAATTTGTCCATCACTAGTAGCATGAAACCTAAGGGGAAAAGAACTAAAAAGAAATGGTAATTGTTGGCAGTGATCATACTGTTAGTGATGTTGCCGTTATTGCCATTTTGCGTATCAAAGGGGTTGGTCCTGCCTCCCTGCTTTTCTCCCTCCCCTTGCCTTTGAGTGCTGGGCCTGAGTGGTATCTGAGGTGGCAAATAGAGGGCAGGTGGCTGCTTTCTCACCCCCCACTCACCTTTGAATCCCCAGCCCTGGCCGATACTCTCACTTCCACCTGATAAAGGGGAATTGTCAGAAAACTAACTAGACATGAAATTTAATCAATCATTATCCTTTCATCAGACCAGAAAGAATAGAATCATCAATAGAAATCATCAATAGCTTCTTTCTATTGAGGTCTTAGCTTTTTGTAGATTGTGACCACCCCATACCGTTCTGGAGTAAGTTTAGAAAAGTAGAGCAGATGTCAAAGTGCACAATCGTGAGTTCATGCACTAACCATGCAGCTTCAGTTTCCCCAACATCTTGGATGTTGACAGTCACTCCTCAGTCCTTGTCTATCACCACGTTACCCCAGCGACATGACGAAAGCAGCTAGACAAAGCTCACTTTGAAAAACACTGATCATTTTTATTTGACTTTTTGGGTTGGTTGTTTTTTTTTTTCCTCCTAAGCCTGTAAGGCTGATGTACTGATAACAGTGAAAAAACTTGCCCTCCAGTTCAGTGTATTCCCCTGGTCCTTGTGTATTCCCTCAGGAAGTGGCTTGTTGAGAAATAAATTGATTCATATAACCTCCAGGGCTCTTGAGCTAGTTCTAAAGGTATGTTTATGAGATTGCGTGTTGAGTCTTTGATTATAAAACTGCAGTTTACAAATGTTGTATTTAGTGTTTATATCAGTAGTTATTAAAAATGTACCATGTGTGGAGAAAAGACTATAAACTATCATAGGTGCTGTTTTACCACCAGAGGAGTGTTGAAGAGAATTGTTGATTTCCTGCAGTACTGTGACTGAAGCCTTTCAAACATCAGCTGTTTTTTCATTGATTTCTTTTCTAAAACAATTAAGAAATGCAGTGTACTCTTTTCTGCTCAAATTGCAGAATGGTTCTAGTGACACTGCTCTGCACTGGTTCTGCTGTTCTTGAGTGATGTGACCATGGTGTAGACTACACAATCAGATCAGAGTTACCGCAGCATGGAGTATTCCCTTTGCTTCTTTGGGCAGTCTCGTGCTGCACATTGTGTCACTGTACCTTGAAGATGAGGACCAGACATACTTTTCTTTATAAGAAGTGCTTCAACTTAATCTGATGGTTCAGTCGGAAGCCCTTATTTGAAAGGAAGGCAGGCAGGGAGCATATAGAATCATGATCTGTCTAGAAGATGACCGAAGGATCTGATAGGAACCTTGATCACAATTACATTTTATCAAGAAATGCTGTTAGGATTAAACTAAGTAAAGTATTGATTTTGTTCAGAAAGTAGCATCACATTCTAATTTTGAGCTTACCCATTTTTGTAGAATTAAGTAAGCACCATTCTTCTACCTATGACTCTAGTATTTGTACCTCTAGACCTCCCCTCCCTGTCCTATACTTGTATATCCAACAACCTTTTTGGGTTTTTTTGTTTTTTTTTTTTTAAATAATAAATTTTATTTTTATATTCCCCATACAATTGCAGCCCCCCCATTCTGACCCCAATCCCTCCCCTCCTGCCCCCCACCCCCCAAAAAGTGTCTCTGGTTCATAGTTTTTTGTTGATTTTGATTTTCACTTTCTTATAGTTATTCATTTTCCTGGTCCCTTATTTAAGTTTTCTAGATTCCTGCTATGAGTGAGACCATCCGGTATTTTTCTTTTTCTTTTTGGCTTATTTCACTGAGCATGATCCCTTCCAGCGCCATCCATGTTGCTGCAAATTGCATGTGTTTATCTTTTTTGAATGCTGAGTAATATTCCATGGTATATATGTACCACATCTTCTTGATCCAGTCATCTATTTTTGGGCATTTGGGCTGTTTCCAAAGCTTAGCTATTGTAAATAGTGCTGCTATAAACATAGGGGTGCAGGTGTTCTTTGGAATGGATGTTTCTGTGTCCTTTGGGTAAATACCTAGGAGTGGAATTGCTGGATCATATGGAAGCTCTATGGTTAGTAGGTCCAGAAATCTCCACACAGCTCTCCCCAACAACCTTTTTGAACCTGTCCTCTTAGACATTTCATAGGCATCTCAATCATGTCAAGACAGAATTCATGATTTTACCCTACGAGTCTGGTTACCATCTTCCCTTGCTCAGTGAACGATACCACCCATTGCCCAGTTGCTAAAGCCAAAATTGGGAAGATCTCTTTGACTCCTTCCTGTCCTTCACCTCTTCAACAATAAATCCTTTCAGTTTAACCTTGAAAGTAGACCTCACATACCTCTACTTCTCCATCTTTTGATACATTTCCCAATCTAAACCATCATCCTCTCTCATTTGGGCTATGATGGTATCCTCCAGTCAGCCCACACATCATTGTCCTCTAATTCTCAAAACAACTTTTAAACCTAAACAGATCGTGTCCCAATTTAGACTCTCAAAAGACTTTTAGAATGAATTCCAAAACACTTTGTCACGGACTGTAAAGCTCTATGTGATTTGGCCATGCCTTACTCTAATGAACTGAGACAATCTTGCTTCTGTTGCTCTTTGACCTCTCTCTCTCTAGTATGTTTCACTGGATAATATGCATCATTGGAACCCCCCTTTTGTGAGATATAGGTAACCTCCCTTTTACAAGATAAGCAGGTAATGATTTTGAAGTACTAATTATGAATTTTGTGTGTAGCTTGTGAATCCCTGATAGTCCGTCATCCCTCCAAGGGCCCTGGCTTTCACCATGTTAGGTGTGCACTATACCCTTTTGCACATCTGTGTCTGTGCTTGGAGGGTAGGAAGAACAAGGAAGGAATCTTGCAGAGATATTATGATCTGCTCCTGTTTTTTTTTTCAGCTCGCCAAAGTGAGGGAAAAAGTGAAGGATGTGCCTGACCTTGTGGCCAGATTTGATGAGATCCTTGGGAAACTGTATATAAATGGCCAGGTCACCACTTACTCTTTGGATGCTCTGCTCTGCCACACCCCCAGGAACAGGAGCTCCCACTTGGTGCAATTAAGCAAGAGGACAATCAGCCGCCGGACCTTCCAGCCACTCAACCGGTCCCTGTGGGCTGAGTAACCCTATCCTACTGAGATGGGGTAGGCCTGCTTCTAGAGAGTTAACCAGCTTCCTGGGAAACCAGGCACCATACTCCAGTGGACACTATACTAAATAACACCCGGTCTCCTCCTTAAATTTCCGAGTTCATGGAGTGCTGGCATAAGACTTGAGACGTTTATATGTTGTGTCCCACTGTGAAGGTCTAGAGAAAAAGCAAGCGGGAAACTCAGCTCCCCCAGAAAGGAGCATTTCTTCTGTGCAAATTGCCAGGATCCCGAAAGAAATGTGGTCATGTCCTCCAGTGCAGTTTCCAGTACCAGAGTGGAAGCCATTAAGCACTGGTGGGAAGGAGTTTCACTAGAAGTGGTCAACTTTAAAATCCAGAGGATAGTTACTTGCCGCAAGTTACTTTTGCTGAATTTGGGAGCTCTGAAACCAGAAAACAACCCAGGATTTTCTCACTGTCATCATTTATCTGTAACCCGAAATAAGATACTTGAGTCCTCATTTTTCCGTCTGTAAAATAATAGTGCCTATGTGAATCTCTGTATTGATTGGAAATTTTCATTGAAGGTTCAGTAGGGTTAAATTTTCTCAAATATAAGAGCAATAAAAAGGTTCCTGAAAAAACTTGAGGTTATATTTTATTTATTTAGCAATACAAACAAAACCAGAATTTAGCTCTCAGAACTGTTAAATAGCCTGAGTTTAAGTGATTACTGCTTTGGTCATGGGCAAATGAGACCAATAAAAACCACATTATGCTCTCTGCATTGTTAAGTTTTCTATGTGCGTCCTAAATAGTTCTTCTCATTTGTCAATGATTTTCTCAATTCTTTCTTAGGACATTTTCTTTTTCTGTAAAAATAAATGTGCCACAAGAACAGGTCATAAGAGCTGATCCATCACTTGATGGTTTGAACCAGAGCCCTGGTGAGCTTCTCCTTCTCTGCTTCTTGTGTTCAAAAGAAAATCCACAGTGATCCCTACTCTCTTGTACCTCCTGGAGGCTCCAGTTATGTTCAGGCCTCTCAGCCAGCTTCCTAGAGTACTTCAAAAACTAAGGCTGACTTCATTGTTATTCTGAGGCAAGAAATGTTCATAGAATCAGAAATTTTGAGACTCAGGGTCTCTTAATTTAACAACCTCATCTTTCAGATCCAGAAAATGACATCCAAATGGCACAGCTTGTGTGAGGTAGAGCTGAGATGAAAATCCAGATTCTTCATCTTGTACTCTTCTCCTTCTACCACATTATAGCTCTTCACAGAAGGAAAAGGAAACTCTTTGGTGAAAGAATACTAAAGACTCCCACAGCTTATGGGTGGCCTGGATTTGCCTCAATTTACTCATTTGTTAATGGGGATAATACCAACCTTGGAGGCTTGCTGTGAGAATGAATGAGGTAGTAAGTGTGCAGCAGGCAGAGCGTGCCAGGCACAAAGCACATGCTATGTGAACGATAACTACTGTTATTGCTGCTAGTTGAAGAATTATATAAACAAATGACTTCTTCCTCCTGTTCAGAAATGTTAGGAGCTGCTTCTGTTTATGCTCTATAAAATATTAGCTCCATTTTAAGAAAATTCTCTCTGCCTTCATGACTCTAATTGTATCTTGTGTGTGTCTGGTGTTTGCAAAAGCAAAAAAAAAGTATTTGAACTTCTCTACCTTCAAAGTCTTAGGGAATAATAGGGCACACTTCCTGTCCCCCAACATTCACAAAGCATTCAAATGCTATTACACCCTGAGTGAATGTGACCCCGGTGTTAGGGGGCAACCTTTCATTAGCAAAAGAGAAAAAAGAATTTTGTGAGCAATAACTAGCAGCATTGACCTTTCCAAGCCCTGTTTCTCTGAGCAGCAGGCAACGGCTGCAAAGCTGGGCTCTGCCACCTGCTCCAGGGGCTCACCCAGGGGCAACTAAGTGGAGATGGAACTGTGTGTGTAGCACCTGTCTCCCCCAGATAGCTGTTTCTCAAGGCTAAAAACAACTACAGAAGACGCATAATCAATATAGATAGTATAGTGCATCTCAGGGTTTAAAATTCAGTAATTGCTTTCAAAAATGCTGTTTCTTTACCATTGATGATTTGCCTAAAGCATTTTACTCGTTCTGTCCATGAGAATATTTGATAGGACAAAACATCTTATCCCCAACTCTGTTATGTGTCCTGTCAGTTGCTTTCATTTACTTATTGTAAATTTTGCTCTAGTCCAAAAATCAGCATGGTGGTAGAGCACAGTATGACAGAGAGATGAATGGATATGCCTCATTACTGAGCTGATAGCAGGATTGTATTCTGGTTGCCTATCTGTGTCAAAGACACTTCAGAACTCAGTGGCTTAACACTATATCCATCATTTCATTCTTTCTCATTGTCCTAGGATTTCACACACAGTTCTTACTGAGGGTCTCTTAGTTATAGTCAGGTGATGGCTGGGACTGAACTTGCCTCAAAAACTTCCTCACAATAATTCTGTGAGTTGGTGCTGGTACCTCAGCTGGGCCCTCCTCATCTCCACGTGGCTTCCTCCTGGCTTTATTGCCAACTACGAGGGAATGAGTGTCCCAAGACGACCAGTCAGAGCTATTGTCACCTTTTAGGACCTGTAATGTCAGGAACTGGACACGGTGCAGGTTTTCTGATCCCATGCAGACCGGGTAAAGGAGGAGTCAGAGTCCTCAGTAGTTTTGCAGGTCTTTTATTGGGGGTTCACCAGGCATATGGCAGGCAGGGGTGCTGGCTGGGGGGCTGGGAGGCCTGTCAGCCAGCAAGTCTTCACTCTATCTGGACTCTCTGGCGTTCGTTCTGCTGCTTCTCGGCTTGTGCTTCGGCTTCTACTGCTGCTTCTACTGCTGCTTCTACTGCTGCTGCTTCTGCTGCTGCTGCTGCTGGCGTCCCCGTGACGCCGCCCTTAAAAGCACAGTCTTAACTCAGCTGAATCCCATCTACCTATGCCCACACCCTACTCCAGGTGCCCGCCATCAGGCATGCATTCAGGACAAGGATCCATCATCTATCCTGATGGCGGAAGGACAGAAAAGCCTGATATTTTCTTTACCCTACAGGACCTAATGTCAGAAGTCACATAACTTCTACTCAGCCGCAGACCCATCCAGATCTGGAAAGGACCACACCTCCCGCCTTCTCTGGTAGGAATGTCAAAGATTGACGGACGTGATTTAAATGACCACAGATAGGTTTTATCCAGCAAGCTCTTTAAACTCTCCTTTTTCTTTGCTACTTCCCTAATTAAGGCCACCATCATCAATCATCCATCTCTCAGCTATCCTCTACGCTGTAGCCAGGGTGAGGCTTCCAAGACAAATTTGTCATCTTCCCTGTTGAAAACTTCCTGAGGGCTCCACTGAATAGAGTCAGACTAGAATGGTTTCCAAGGTCCTTTATAACCTGACTCAGGACTGCCCATCCAGCCCCATCACAACTCCACACCTCTTCTCCCCTCTACTCATGGTTCAGGTATAACTTTTTATCTGGAAGACTTTTCAGTCCCACCTTCCCCCTCGAGTCAGGTGAGGCAAGCCACCTATGTGCCCTGTACCTATCAACATACCTGTACTATCTTTGCCTATTTTCTATTCTTCATTAGAGTTATATAGGTATCTTGTCTGTCTTGCTCTCCCACCTAAAATGCCTGAACTATCCATTATTTTCTGCCCATTTTTCAAGGGCCAACTCATACCAGCTCTTCCATGAGGCATTCTTTAGTTGTCACACTGTAGGGTAAGGCAAAAAAGTATCAGGCTTTTCTGCCTTCCCACCATTAGGATAGAAGAGGGAACTCTGCGGTCCTGAATGCATGCCTGATGGCGGGCACCTGAAGTGGGTACACCTCGGCTGAGAGACTGAGTTTATAAGGGCGGCTTCATGGGGACGCCAGCAGAAGCCAAGAACGAACGGAAGCCGAGAGAACGCCAGAGAGCCCAGACAGAGCGAGGATTTGCTGGGGACTGGGAGGACTGCCAGCCTCCCGGCCCCCCAGCACTCCAGCACCCCTGCCTGCCATATGCCTGGTGAATCTAAATAGAAGAACTGCAAAAGCCACTGAGGACTCTGACTCCTCCTTTTCCCGGTCTGCTGGATCAGAAAACCTGCACTGTGTCCTTCCTGCCCCGACACACACCCATAAGGATTTTCCCTTCAATCAGCAAATCTATATTGAGCATCTAAAAAGGATAAAACACTGAAAGTCTCTTGAGATGCCACAGGGAAAAGACAGGTAAGACCCCTTTCCAAAGCAGAATATTTTAACCTGCCATGTTGAACTTAAAGACATTTTGAACTAATCATTTGCCTTTTGCTTCTGTTGATAGTGCTCTGCAGAGTGACAAAAATCCTATGGGAGAGTAGACGCGGTCATGAAAGACCAGTTCTGGGCAAATTTAGCCAACAGTTTCATTGAAGATGAGTCAAATTTTGAACTAATTCATAATGAATATTACTGGAAAATTATAATGGCGAGGTCAAGATTTATCTACTACAATTCAGGTAGAAAAAGTTGCAGATCTCTCTAGTTCTTTGCAAGTGAACAAAATTTTTTTATGAATGCTGGTCTTATTGAGACTTGAAAAAGAGGTTTATAGAAGACTTGATCATACTTAAAGGTTATTTTAGGCTTTGATTTCTTTTTGACAAAAGTTTGCTCTCTCTGGCTATCTTCCTCTTACCCTTTTTCATAGTCAAGAGGACAGTTAAGTGTAGGTCCTCACACTTGAGTATCAGAGCCACCTGGAGAATTCGTTCAAACTCAGATTGCTGGGTCCATCTCTAGAATTTCTGATTCCTAAGATCTGGGACCCAATAATTTGAATTTCTAATAAATTCTCAAGTGCTGGTCTGAGGACTACACTTTAAACCACTGTTGTAAAAGGAGGCTTGTGTTTCTCCCTAGCACTGCTGGCTTGGGATTCAGAACCATTCTACGGGTCCTCTCACTTCTGTTGTGAGGAAGAAGGAGAGAGCAGCAAAGTGTGGGCTTGTCCCTGGACCCCTGAGCAAGTAACTGCTGAGTTGGCATATATCCCAGCAGACCTTTTAGGGGTTCGTGCCAGCACTTACTATACCTCTGTCTTTTGCTTTTATTCATGAGGACTCTCACTAAGGTTGACCCAGCCCAGGTCCTCGCTGAATTCAATAAATCAGGAGTTCCAGGACATTTTGATTTAAGATCAATGATCTTAGTATCGTAGATCTTAGTATCAAAGATCTTAATATTTTCAAACATGTATATTTGAAATCCATGCGAACTAAGGAAGGCAACATATGGCAAAACAGCACAAAGCTTGACAAAAATAACCCAAACTTCAAATTTGTAACATTCTACCTCCAAATTGGACTTGGGTAAATGAAACTCAGTAGACAAAAAAGCCATTTACAAAATCACAATGGCAAAAGCTATGGTCAGTAAAATTTGAACTGCAAATACATGTAGGGAAACAAATCATTATGAATTGATCCCGATGGAAATCTTTTAGAAAAGTAAATTAAAAGATTTTTAAAGTAAATGGTTCAACTGTATGACATAGAAAACGGATCAAGGAATTAAGTTGGCTTCAGTGGCCTCACCCTTTAAAATTCTTCTGAGTAAAGACCAGTTGATATTGGTATAATTCTGACTAAAATATTCCTTATACATTCACATGGACTCAAAACAAAAGGCATTTAAAAATGCCCTCTTCTCACAGAGCTTCCATTCTACAAGAGGAAAAGACATTAACTGGGTAACCGGCAAATGACCACATGATTGCAATTGGAACAAGTGCTAAGTCCAGGGCGACAGATGCTCAAATCACCATGTGGCATATGTGACAGTGACATATGTGACAGTGGCACACTTTAAGTGTTTCACAGCTGTCTCCTAAGCTAGCTGCGCTTTCTACTCCAGTTGTACATGTTACATAGCTAAGACCCAGAGAAGTGGAAATGCCGGTAAGGGGCCTGAATTGACTAACGTGTTAACATAGGAACCAGAGCTCCTCTTCCACTTTCAATTCCATGGGGCTCCCCCTCCTCCAGTATTTATAAGCACTCTGCTAATCTGAGAGAGAAGTGAGGGGTTGGGGGCACCAGGACTGCTAATGAAAGGATTAAAACACTGCTGAACTGCACACCTACCCACTCTCGCCTAGAGCTGTTGACCCTCCTTCCATGAGCTGTGGCCTCCAGGGCAGCATTAACACAGGGATTGAACGTGAGGGTGGGTAATGAAGGCCCACAGAGGGGGAAAAAGAAACAACCCCAAACTCGGCTGCTAATCACGGCTGGCAGCTGAAAACACTCCAAAGCTGGCTGACTCAGAGCAAAGGCCTAGTTTAATCAGGCTCTGAGGGGAAATGTACCAGGAGCCTCTGAGTCCAGCCGGGTGGGTCACCGCAGGCCTGCCTGGGAAATGCATTGCTGAGTAATGTTCACATACCTCATCTTCCCTGATTCTTCTTTCCCACCTGAAGTGAGGCCAAGCTGCTCACCCAGAAGAGCCAACTGTCCCTCTGTCACTTAATTCCCCAAATCTCTCACTCCCAGACTATGAGATCATCCTGTTGAATGACAGTTAGCATCACAAAGGAAGGCATAACCCTTCCTAGTAACTGCTCTAAAACTATGATAGCAAGTCACATTCCTGGCAATGAAGCGGTAGAAACTCCTGGTGTATCCCCCTGTACCCCAGGGGGACACATGTAACCATGAAGATATGAGAGAATTAAAGTGATCTTCAGTTTCAGTTTCAAATGCCAAAGACTTTGTTTCTCTCCGGAAGGAGTGGACAAAATGTCATTTCCAGTTTAGATGAGCATACTCCTTTCTTTGACACAGGTCACAAGGAATTTCTTTGCTCAGGTAACAAGGCATTTAACAGCAGGGCTTTGTATGCTAGGGTTTGTGAAAGAAATTAAAGAGAAAAACAGCAAGGAGCATCTGTCAGGCCCTCTGCAAAGAACTTTGTATCTCATTTAATCTTCAGGAAGCCCTACTAGATATTATTACCTCATTTCATAGATGAAGAAACTGAAGAGGTTTATCTTCAGAGAGGTCAATTTACTTGTCCATGGATGTGATACCAGGGATTGGGGGAGTCTAGGGTACTGATGTCAGGGTTCATGTTTTTAACTCAGTCTCTGGATGTTGCTGGCCTTAAAGGTAGCCGTGTGAGTGTGTGTATGAGTGCATTTTTCAGGAGAGGTTGTCTGGTTGTCAGCACTATTGCTACAACAGAATATCAAAGGGGCCTCTGAGCAAAAAAAAAATATATATGTGTGTAACATTATGTTACATGTTATAAATGCATGCATAAATGCACATATACATTTGTGTGTGTTTGGGCTTTTTGGGTTTTTGTTTTGTTTTTCAGTAATCCCTCCCTGGCCAGCTTCACGCTTTGTGTTTTTTCATTCATATATAACAGCAGAACTTACTGTAGACAGCAGAGGGCGCTCAGAGTCACTGTTTTTGAAAGAGACTTTCGTATCTTCTGTTGCTATAATTCACAGGAAACAGTTCCATAGTTCAGGCTAGATAGGAATGGCAGCCATAGGTAGACCTTAGGAGAGATTAATTGCCTTCGGGTGGATTAAGAATCATCCATTATTGAAAGGATGTTTTGAGAATAGAGAAAACAGCGAGGCCAATCCTCTGCAGGTAGGACAGCACACAGGAGTGTGGGTACATGCTGATGTTTCATGAGAACATATCCAATTCAACTCCTTATTCAAGAAAATAGCATTTGTCTCCCTTAAGAAAAAGTTTCCTTCTAAATTAAGAAGGAAGAAATCCTACAATGAGCTAATTGCCTTCATTTACTGAAATCACATTGGTGTGTGATGGTCAAGTGAAAAGAATTAGGCCCTTAATGATTTCTGTTGTCTTTCTACCAGTCTCAGATTCCTCAAATGATAACAACCTGACTACCTCTTCTTGTATCATCAGGAAGGTACTCGCTCTTGGAATTTTCTCCATTAAGTAAGATTTATTGAATCAGATGTTGGTGTCTTGATGTATTTATCACTGTCCCTTTTAGGAATAGGTAGGGCCAAGACCAAGTTTTCATTATCACACACCTGTGAGCTGCATGGGCACTTCAGAGAATAATCATTATCAGCGGTACGGGGTTGGGATTCTGAGAAGGGCATCCCTGACAGACCCCCCCAGAGAAGGATGGTGGCAGGGACCCTTCTTTGCAGCACAGGATGACTTGCTCATGAGTATTCCATAGATAACTCTTGTGAGTCACCAAAAGTACCTGCAGGAGATGCTGCAACTGGACAGCCTGCAACAACTGACGGAAGTTAAAAAGGCAAATCGTTAATTTCTCTAAATGTGCCCTGTTGAGTTGGTAGGGCTTGGGCACGCCCCTTCAGGGACACGGGTACTGAAAAAAAGGCTTGGGGGGAATTCTATAGCAAATGTTATCCCCCACGTGTTTTCTGTGATTTATCTCACATATAACCCAAACACCTGCTGAAGCAACTAGGCATCTGGAGTTGAGTGCCCGCTGTTTCTCTTTACCTGTAATTGCAGGCTTTTCATCACATGCGGATATTGGAGGTGGGGGGGAGGGGTCACCTGAATGTAATGTTCTACTGCACTGCCCAGGTGGAGGTCATGCTGCTAGGACATACCACCTACATCTCAAGGAAAGCATCAGTATGACGGTCACTCAAGCAGGAACTGTCTCGACAGCGTGGAGACCAGAGAAGCGAAGCAGAGAACCAACTGGTATGGATGGCAGTTCTGAACTGCTAATGTTCTTGCCTTCTTACCTCCTAGAGTCAAAATTTTGAACTTAGTAGCCTAAGGAGCTGGCCCCAAAGTACACACTTTTCATTCATATGGACTATTTGGATCTGTTTTCTAAATCTTTTTTTCTACTTCAAGTCTTCTCAATTCTGGACCTCCCCTGGTGACGCAGGTGGTTGAGCGCCACGCTGTGAAGCTGTCTACAGCCTGAAGTGCCGGTTCAATCCTCGCCAGCCGGCGAGGGTCCCACATGGTGCGGCAGACCTCTCCTGTCTCTCCCGCTGCTCCCCTCAGCAGTGTGTTTCGTCAGTCTGCCTGTTCTGTTCCCCTCTCTGTCTCTGGTGAATCCTCTCACCCTCCCGCGCATCTGGCCTATACCCCGGTTATTCTATAAAATAAATACATCTTTAAAAACACAAAAAAAACAAATCCTCTCAATTCCACATTTCACCTCACAAGTGTTGACATGACTTTATAAGTTATTTCACTGTGTTGTAATTATGTTATATGCAAACCCATGAAGGAAGCAAAGATACCCAGCTCACTAAGTCCAGACAGAAATCTCCTAACTCCATTTTGAAGCTTCAGAGAAATAGATAAAGGGAGTCTCGGTGTCCCTGAACTAGTCCTGGCCAGCAATCTGCACTGGCGGACATTGAGTACAATTTTGCCTTCTGTTCATATTTCAGTAAAGTAATGCCTTATATATTTTTTCCTCCTTTAAATCTACTTCCTCTTTTTCCTTTTTCTGTTCTTCTATTTTGTGTCTTTATTTTGTTAGCGCTTCTCCCTTTGTAAAAAATATTTTCGGTCCCTTTTTTTGGGTTCTTTGGTGACGGAGTTTGGCTTCCTGTGTCCTCGTTCTTTCACTCACTGACTCAGAATGGAGGCTGCTTTACTGGAACTTAGGAGAAGCCAGAGGCTTACTTTCAGTCCCGCTTTCCCTCTAACATAGAACTCTTATTGCAACAGAGAACACCTGGATAAGTAGAGTTGGGAAAGCAAACAACAAGCTAAAGGCATTTTCTTTACCAGCTGCTGTTAGGGGATATTCTGTAGAAAGGTAGCAGGTCACTTGCTCCCCAAATATCTTCCCTGCCAGTATCTTGCACAGCTTATTCTGTCTTTGACATAAGTCAAGACCCTCAAAGTAAGGTAGTGGCAAGATTAACAAACTAAAACTGCTTTTTACCGCAAACCAACATAGAATTCAACTTCTCCAGTGTTCAACAGAGAACATTTAGCAAGTATCCATTTTTGCATGGAAAATAGGATAGATTGAAAATAATGAAATGTGCAAGTTTGACATTTCCAGAGATGATAGTCGGACACCTAACAAATTTGAACTTAAGATCTAGTCTGAAAGCCCAACTCTAGGGCTAGATCTCTCATTCTCTATTATACCTTGGAAGATTTTTTTTTTAAGATTTATTTATGATTACAAGAACTGGGGTACAGGCCAGAGGTATGGGGAGAGGGTGAGAGGATCCACCAGAAACAGAGCGGTGAACAGAACAGGCAGATAGACCAAAGTACACTTGCTGAGGGGAGTAGCAGGCGAGTCAGGAGAGGTCTGCTGCACCATGTGAGAAGCTCCCTGGCTGGGGCTGGAACTCGTGCTGCAGAGGCTGCAGACAGCTTCACAGCGCTGTGCTCAACCTCTTGTGCCACCAGGGAGGCCCCCTTGGAAGATTATCACAAAAGTAATAATATAATTCCATCACTTCCATGTTTATTGTTTTAAGCTGAGGCAACCAAATAGTGCTCATCCATAACCATGAGAGGACTGTTTATTTTTTAAGTTGATCCCATTTTCCCATTTTCAGAAATTGATCAATGAATGCAGCAATTTGGTCAGACCTCTGACTATGTGGTGTCAAAGATAGCATGCATGTGAGATTATGGAAGATTGTACGCCTAGTGAAGTCAACTATGGGGAGAGAAAGAACCACGATACCTATTATGACTCAGTTGACAACACTTTTAGGTAAAATCCACACTGTTTGGAAAGCACTGCTTCATCCCTGATGTCAGAACCTCCAAAAGCACATAAAAAAGTACAAGATGCCAGTCCATGATGAGCTCGTCTAGGGTAATTTTGGATGCCTTGGTGATAATGATGAGATGTCATTTTTTTCACCTTGTCCATCAGACTTCCTGTCCAAAAGAATATGTGGCACAGCAGATTGAGCACAGTGCTGTGAGTCTGTCCATAGCCTCCACGTCGCCAGTTTGATTCCTGGCAGGCCAGGGAGATTCCCACATGGCATGGCAGACCCCTCCTGTCTTGCCCGCTGCTTTCCTCAGCAGTGTATTTCAGTCAGTCGGCCTGTTCTGCTCCCCACTCTGTCTCTGGTGAATTCTCTCACCCTCCCACGCCTCCAGCCTGTACCCCAGCTCTTGTATAAATAAATCTATAAATCTATAAATCAATCAATCAATAAATAAATAAGGCCAGCTAAAAGTTGTGAGTCCACAATTGGATTTGTTCCAATCAGATCCACAGAGCCACACCAGGCTTCTAAGGAAATGTTGCCATTGATGGTGTCAGCAGCGTAGAAGTTTGTTTCCCATTCTTTTCAGTCACTGGGCTAGCATGGTTCAGATTTTGAGAAATTTAACCTGCATGCAAATATGTGACTAGCTTTCCTGGCAACCTGTCATTCAACAAAGAATAGGAAATGAAAACCATCATTATCACCACAAGGTTCCTTTTACACAAGTTTCCATAGCTTAGAGAGGTACCTTTGCTGCTTACTCCCTCTCCTGTTTTCCTCATCTGTACTGCTTTGTATCACCTCAAGATGAAGGAGAAGGGGAACTGCTTGTCCAAGTGGTGAAAGTTCTCAGGAAAGAACTGAGGCTCCTTTTAAGGGTACCCCTAAGATTTGACACCCTCTCATTTGCCCCTAAACACTGAGCCCAGAAACCACTGCACTAATTACAATCATTTGCATACTAAATATATCAAAGTCCCAGAAAGTCTCAAGAAGACCAATTTGATACAAATTTATTACAGTAACCTCAGCAGCCCCTAAGATCTAGGACCATGGTGTAATGTACTTCTGTGCAAATTTGTACCCCAACTAAGGACACTTGGCAGAGGTGCTATATGAAAGCAAAAATCCTAAGCTGCTTTCTACTATAGGGAACCCTTTTCCTAATTCACCCAAACCTATTGTGTGAACAAGTGGGGGCTGTGGGGAGTCACCCTGATGCCTTCTGCTTGATGGTAAAAATTCAGAACATGCTATTTCCTTTCTCAAAATGAGTTCAAGTTTGCCCTGTCACACTGAGAATCAACTCCAAAGTCCACAAGGTAACTTTGGCCCCAATGATGTCAGCAACCTCATACACATGCCCTGCTTGCATTATTCCTGCCACAGAGGACTTCTTCCTGTGCCCTAAAGCCCCCCAGTTCCTGCTTCAGGGCCTTTGCCCCAGCTGGTGTCTCTACTAGCTCCCTCACTTCTTTCAGATAGCTGATTAAATGTCTCCTCCTCAGAGGGGCCTTCCCTGACCACCTCGTACAGATCACACCTCCATTCTTTTCTTTATTCAGTCACTCACTGCCTGAATTTTATATTTACTTGTACATTATTTGTCTTTTCTCTTGAACTGAGGTTGGCAACTATAGCCTGAGTGCCAAATCACACTTGCTGTGTGGTTTTTTTGTAAATAAAATTATATTGGGATAGCATCACTCTCATTCATTGACATACTGTCTTTGGCTGCTCTTACACTATAACTGAGGGCTCAGGAGTTGTAGTAGAGACAGCAGATTTTGCAAAGCCAAATAAAAATATTTATTACCTGGCCTTTTACAGAAAAATCTTGCTATTTTCTATAGAATGCTCTAGAATATAAGCCCTATGAAGACTGGGGTTTTGTCTCTTGCTTGCTGCTGTATATCCTGCATTTAGAGTCTGCCTTGCACGTAGTAGGTACTTAGTAAGTATTTATTAAATGACCAAGCATATGGATAAGTGATTATACAAATGTATCTAGAAATTTGTGGTTTTAATTCAGCAATTATTAAGACCCAACTTAATAACTGGCCAGATGTTGGCCTCTGTGTAGGGGACACCACAATGATGAGAGACCAATAAGTTCAGGCACTGTGAAGAATATGATGTGACAGGTTAGTGTCAGATGCTGCGGGAGCCTCAAGGAGAAATATTGGACAAAGCATCCAATGATGGTGACCCCTAAGGACTGAGCTCTCCAAGTAAAGACAAATGTGGGGGCAGTGAGTAAAATGAGCTTTGGTCAGAGTTAGTTATCTGGGGAACAACAGGTTGCTCACTATGAATGTTGTTTGAAGGAATGGAACAAGTTCTTCCTGCGTTTGACTAATCACTCGCCTCATCTTTCTGACTTCTACTTCCTTGCCTATCATTTAAAATTTGGAGGAAAATAATGACTCTTCACAAAAAGGCTATTCATTTTTTGATGTTGTTGTTGATGTCTTCAGCCCAAGCCAAACACATAAAATGCATTTTTTGAAGGAAGTTCTGGGATGCATTAGATCAGGTTTCTCAATCTAGGCCCTGGTGACAGTCTGGACCCAATAATTCTTTGTTTTGGGGGGCATCCTATACATTGTAGGACATTTAGTAGCAACCCTGGCCTCTGTCCACTAGATACTATTAACACTCCCCCAGTCTGACAACCAAAAATGTCTCCAGATATTATCAGACATCCCCTGGGTGAGGTCAAACATTCCTTTTGAGATCCACTTAATTAGGTAGTGCCCATAAAACACGCTGGGCAACTTCAGGATGAAATATATCAATAACCTACAAATTCCAGGCAAAGGGGCTATTGAAAGCCTAAGTGATTCCATCTTCTGCTATCTCTGGATTTCTTTTACTCCTAAAATCAGACTTTTACTCCTTTTCATCTTCAGGTGATCACCCAACATGATTATGACAAGTAACTAAAGAATTTGAAGAATAAACCTCAGCTACTTCTTACTTGGTTACCCAAGTGCTATCTTTCCCACTCATGGAGTGTGTGCTATCGGGAAAAATCCCAAGTTCCACACGGAAAAATTGCAAGTTCAGTATGCACTAGGACAACAGAGTCTTGTTCGATAATAAAAAGGAATAAGCTATTGATAATGCAACAGCAAAGGTGAATCTCAAAGTCAGGCTGTTGAGGGAGAGAAGATAGTTTCAAAAGTTTACACACTGCCTGATTCCATTGCTATGGCTTTCTAGAAAAATGGCAAAACTATATGGGGAGCAGATTAGCAGTTACAAGGGTGGGAGCAGAGGAGAATGTAACTACAAAGGGATGTGATGGGAATCTTGGGGGGCAATGGAAATGTTATATATCCTGATTGTGGTGGCGGTAACATGAATTGGTACAGGGATCTATAACACTCACAGGTGTGCACACCAAAATTCTTCTTGGTATGCAGTGTGAATCACAAAAAAAAAAAAAAAAAAAAGTTGTTCCTGAAGAGTACAATGGATCTTTGCTTCTTAGATGTCTTCTTCCAACCGCAATAAAGCGTTTAAAGCCATATTTTAAAAAATGTACCAGACAACGAAGCTTTGACCATCCCTGGTAATAGGAGGGCTGGGGACAGGAGAGAGTAGATATTCTGGAACTACATGAAGAGCGTTAGCTTCCTTGCTTCAATTCCTCTTTCACTTTCCACAGAACAAGGTGATCTTCACTTCCCAATCCAAGGTTGCCAAATTTCACTCCAGAATGAGTTGGCAGAAGGAAGAAAATGCTTTCAGAACTTTGATGTATATGGAAGCAGATTTGCCCACGTACTTTGAGGCATGTGCATGATCACAGCATTGAATCGCTATGACACTCTTCTGCAGGTGAGAAGGACTCATCCAAGTGATAAATGCGAGTCTAAGGAATGTGCAGCTAGTTTTCTAAGACTGAAGGCAAGAGAAGGCAAAGAAAGCATCAGGCAATGATAGAAAATTTATTCTAAGGGAAATTCATATCCTGTGTTATTATTCATATGAATATTATCACCAAGTTTATGTATATATGAAATAATCCATATTCTGGGTACTTTTTCCTTCCCCTAAATATCTAGTCATCTAATGATGATGATCATGGAGCCTGTGAGGGTATGTATGGGAAGATAGAGGTAACCTCTACCTAAAATTGTACCCCATAAGTATACAATTCAGGAGAATGTTTGGCATTCCTTCTTTGGGGGGATGGGGGAATGGGGATTACAGGTTTATTTTACAGAACAATGTTGCTCATTTGCTTATACAATGCTAATAGTAAGCTATAGGGTTCTCATTGAAGAAAAGAAGGTGCTTGACTTCTCAGAGAATGACAACAGAAAGAATCATAGTGTCATCCACCTGGTATTCATCCTGAATGAGCTGTGCAAAGCACGAGTGATGTCACAATCTCAAACATCATACATCTTTCTCTTAGCCTCACCAACCTACATTTCCAGCAACATAAATTCAGACAACTGAGGCATCTCCAATTTTATTTCACAGGTGATAGTACATAAAGCATCCTAGGAGTTGTTGATTATTTTCCCATTCAGCTAATGGGAAATGAGGTCAAAGTGACAGTCCCTCTGTTTCTGTAAGGTGGGGGGATGGGGTGGTGGCAGAAGTGAGAAATGTGCTGTGGAAGGATCTGCTCATGACTACAGATAATTTTAAAAGCAGAGTCTTGACCTTTTCAGTAGCCTTTTGCATCTTTTATTTGTTCCTCACACTGCTGTCCCATGACCCTATGATGGGGTCAGTCTATCCTGGGTCCCAGGATTTCCAGAGTTGCAAAATATATGGATGAGTCCATCACCTGGAATAGAACTCAGTACAACAGCACAGTGCACGATGCCTGCCTTGACACCTGAATTCTCTTGGACATACACAACTTCTCACAATTCTTCCCTGAAACTAATAACCCATATGTCCACTCAACCCAGTGGTAAGAGCTCAAGCAGAGGGCAGGGTGATCCCATTGGTTAGGTAACTCTAAGGGACTGGTTTGAGGTTCACCCAGCTTCTGACTTCAATGCCAGACAGCAAAGTCCCGTGATGTAATAGCCAGAGCCTTCCTTCTCATCCACACAGCCCCCTCAAAGTGGCTTCTTTGGGAAACCAGGGGGGATGCATTATCTGAAGCATCTAAGGGTCTGTGCTGTAAGGACCAGAGATGATGTTAGTGCTCAGCAGAGGAACCACTTGGTGAAGAGTGTGCCCTTGGGGTTAAATGAAATTTGAAAATTTAGCCCCTCATTCTGCTTCAATGCAGATTGTTACCACAACAGTACACACATTCTCTGGCACTTAATTTAAGGGAAATGAATTTAGCAAAGTACATTAATACTGAAGGTAGCCAATTAAGGTCTTTTATTTTGTTTTATAATATTTCACTGGGTGGGGGCATCACCAGCTTAAATTTTGCATAGAGGACTTCTTCCTCTGATCATGTCAAGGCTGTGAGTTTGTTTTATGACTTCAGCTGTGTCAAGAAAGACAGGTTCCAAGTTTAACCTGGGGCAAAATAAAAGGCAGGTCAGCCTGTCACCATTTTACCCCCTGGTAATTTTACTCATTTATTACAGACACCACAGGGCTTAGGGGTTAAACGTTCTCCTCTTCAGATTTCTCACCAACCAAATCGATTAACTCAGCTTCAAACCTGACACTTGATCTCAAGTGGCAGAAAGATATGTTTCAGAGCTAACATTATTTATGTTATTGGCATGCCTGAGTTATATAAATGCCTGAATAGTGTGAACTCTGGGAAGAAATAAAATTTACAGACTTTCACTCTTCCCAAGACAAATGCATGAGTGCCTTAGCCAAATCACTTGTAACTTCTTCCAAGTAATTTCATGGTAATTTTACTATGGAGAAGAAGTAGAAGGCAATGTCATAGGAACTTCTCTTTTATCTCACTCATCTATCTCTTCTCACACTTGGAGTGACAGGAACAGAGAATGAGGATGGAAATGGCATGATTGATACACAGACAAAATCTCACCAGTGGTTAAGACTTTCAGGGGAAATTTAGACCACAGGCTCAGCTTCCCAGTGCTCACTACCCTTTGGAGAAGTTCTGTTTTTAAAAATAAAAATGCAACATTTGAAAGTTTCAAATAGAATATAAGAGATGAACGGCATTTCTCTCCGTCGAAGGTGATGCTTAATAGCAGAATTCAGTTCCTAGAGGACTGACAATTCCAAATGTGTGATTGTCACAGAGAAGAAAAGGAGGTGGAGATGTTAAAAAAGGTCCCTTCTTAAGACTGTGAAGCCAGCTGTGACACATTCCCTAATATTACTGGGGCCTCCATAGCTATGTGTGCTTAAATCACCAGGGGTCTTTTCCTATTCCAATCTCTGACACCTGTCTCCAGACTAATCCTTCTAAACAGCTGCCTAAATCATGTCATGTCTTGCCTTTAGTGACTCCCCAAGGCCTCCAAAAATGTCAGTTACACACTAGCCTGATCTTTATATTATGCAAGAATTTGGCTGCCAGTGACGTTTGATCTTCCTCCATCTCCAACAGGAATCTGCTGTTCCTGTAAATAGTCCCTGCGCCTCTTTCTGTTTGCTCACCTGTATGGCTTTACCTGTGATAGGCTCCATTCTCCTCTCCTGGAACAAACTTCTGCCCCCTTTCCTCCTTCTCAACCATTAACCTGAAGGTAGGAGTTGAATTTGAGAAGTGTGGGATCTGGAACTAGTTGGATCTGGGTTAAATTGTAGTTTACTATTTGTTTGTTGTGTCTCTGGGTAAGTGTGCAATCTTCTCTGAACCTTACCTTTCTTGTCTATAAAATGAGAATGTTCACACCAGGTTCATGGTAGATGCTCAAAAGTTAATTTCTTTTTTCTGCATGCCTAATCAATTCCTCACCCTTCCAAGCTTCTAAATCAACTGATTTCTATCAAATGGGTCATGAAATAGGATTTACATGTGAGTATAAGTCTAAGGGCAGTAGGGTCGTCATCAAGGAATGGGCTAGGTGGGGACTGTAGATGTGACAAGGCCCTGTCAGGACAAAGCTTAAAGGCCAAGGAGCATGGTTTATTATCTGCCTGTGACACAATGAAACTTCAATTTCAAGGGAGTAGATCCCAATATAAGCACTGGAAAAGCGCCAACCACTTCATGCATGGGAAATTATAGTTTTGCCATGACTCACTATTAGATAGTTGAAAGTTCCTGAATAACATATTTTCATAATTCCCCCAAAATTCACAAAAGATGCCAATTAACAGATTCAGTTCCTTGACATTTGAATCTTAATTTTTAAAAAAGCAGATGCATTAGAGGTATTTATGATCACTCAGCCTCTTTGAAACACATTAACCCACCAACAGACCTCCAGTTTGGAAGGTAATTGGTCACATGGCCAAAGCCTTCTTTGGGCACATCTGTTTGGTGCAGGGATGGATACCCAACCAAAAGGGAATCACTCCTATAGTCTGGAGAGTAACAACTTATGTCCTAGTACAAAAAGATGAGCTGAGTCAATCAGATTCCTTGTCTTTCTAGAGCTGGAACTAGGAAACACAGAAGGAATGAGCCTCCAGCAACAGGAGTAGAAGCTGTAAAAATACCCTAAGGGAAAGTCGGAGACATGGCAAGCAAAAGTCATGAGCAAGCCAGAGTTAAGAAAGTTTAGAAGCCTCTAACAAGCAGAATCAGCCAGTTAGTGGAGAGAGGAGAACTGAGCAAGGAGAAACAAGAAGACCTGAGTAAGAGAGAATAACGGGTTGCTGGGCTGGCTGGTTCCTCAGGCTGCCTCAGGCCTTAAAGCAATCTCAGTTCCTACAATAAAATCCCCTTGTATAAAGATAACTTACATCAGTATTCCTTATAAACCAAAGAACCTAATTTAAACAGTAAAAAGGAGTAGTGACATATATTACTAGAAAAATAAACACACCTACTCTGAATACATACACTGTTGCACAAGTCACAAAACCAGTAGGACCACGAGGTCCATCTGTTTTTGGGAAGACACATGGTACAGGGTGAGATTGCCTTCACAGACAGACTAACATCTCAGAGCACAGAGAGGAAGGCACCTCATATTGCTTTGCCTTCTTTTTTTAAGATTTATTTATTTATACAAGAACTGGGGCACAGGCCAGAGATGCGGGAGGGTGAGAGAATTCACCAGAGACAGAGCGGGGAGCAGAACAGGCAGACGGACCAAAAACACTGCTAAGGGAAGCAGAAGGTGCAACAGGAGAGGTCTGCCACCCCATGTGGGAATCTCCCTGGCCGGTCGGGAATCGAACCCGCACTGCAGTGCCTGTGGACAGCTTCACAGTGCTGTGCGCAACCCGCTGTGCCACCGGGGAGGCCCCTGCTTCACCTTCTAAGGGAACCATCACAGTCTGACACTTCAAAAATATTTCACCCTGCTTTGAGAACTCAGATAATCCCTGGTGGGAGAGGCAGTGGTAGAGAAAGCTCTCACTGGCAATGGGAAGATGTGCCCCCGTGCCTCGTGACTGGTGTACACTCACTAGTCCTGCGACCCGAAGCACTCATCCCATTTCTCTGAACCTCAGTTTCCTCCTGTGTGAGAGGTGATTACTAAAATGACTTTTATAATTAATAATACAGAAAACTTCTAATGAATTTCTTCCAATTATATTAGGGAGAAAAAAAAAAAAAAGACAGTCCAAAGGGAAGGAAAGACTGGATGGCCAGCCAAGGACATCTGCGTTTCAGCTCTGATGCTCACGGCAGCACCAGCTTGGGCAGTGCCGGCAACTACCTGGGTCTCACCCATAAAACGGGAGGATTGGTTTGGGTCTCATCCAATGGACATTTTCATGCCAAATCCTATAATTTTAAGATCTCTAAACATCGCCAACCTGTAAAAGGGAGCTGAAGCCTAAGACTGTTACAGGTGGTTTTCCCTGAGGGGTTGCTGGTGAGGATTGATAGCCCCAGGTGATAAGAAACAGAAGGGACTGCAGAAGCAGCCCCCCCAGGGTTCAGTGTTTGGGATTCAGTTTGGGGAATTTCAGCATTTTCAAATATTCAGTGATTCCAGGGTCAGCAATTTTTGCCCCCCACCATGCTGATCTTTCAGAAGGCTGCTGGGGGCCTCTGAAGGACATGGAGAGGC